AATATTATCTATTTGAATGAATGCCGAGATATGAAACAAGCTGTTTTTATAGACTGCTGTTGTATTTTCAATCTGCATAAAGTTTGTGGTTAGAATTTCCATTTTCTCATTTTTTCAGACACTTTCCAATTATCGTACATCATATATATGGGTGGTCAAACTCACTGGATGGTTTATCAACACTCCCATGCTCACGAACAGCCTTGCCCCAGGAATTTTGCCCTGAAGTAACATTGCAGTCTATTGTCTCCCTTCTTTTTACAACCCTGGCAGCCATGCAGGTATGCAATCTATGAAAGCCATGAAGGGACATAGAATTTTTAAAAATTTATAAAAGTAAACCGAGTTCTCGATTTAAACAATCCATTCTCTCAGATTGACAATCTGTTATAACAAATTGCCAATTCATATTCTCACAGATTATCTTCCCTCAAATTACACAATCCATTATCTCAGATTGTATAATTCATTCTCTTAGTTTAATTGACACGTTCCCTCGGAATGTAAACCCTTCCCATGATTACATTAAAATTATTTATCTGTACATATCGGATGTGGTACATGTTTAAAGAATAGAATATTGTAGTATTTTACATCCAACCTTTTATTACATATTACCATATTACAAAATGAGAAAAATACATGAACATTTTCAAATCCATATGCTAGTACTGATATTTGTACAACAAAAAATCTTAGAGGTTTTTGGTTACGTGTATATTAAAATAATTGAAAGTCCGATATAGTAAAGTGAATATGGGTCCTGTGTAATCATAATATTTCTAAAATAAATATACGTTGAATTAGTTATGAAAGAGGTTGGAAATGACCGGTTGCTGAAAGAAAATAAAAAGAAGTGAACGCACTAATTGATTAAAATAGTTGGATGTATCTGTACATATATGTATTAAAATTCAAGAGCACAGATTGCCAAAATCATAGGACTGACGTTGTAACAAATCGAGATCTCGAATTATTAATCTGTGAAAATGAATTGCCAGTATGTAATTCGAGATCTCAAATATGAATCAAGGGGGCGAATTAGTAATCTGTAAGATCGGATTGTGTAATTCGAGATCTCGAATTATAAATCAAGGGAATGATTTAGTATCCGTGAAATTGGATTGTCTAATTTGAGATTTCATTTTCTACTTTTTTGAAAAATTGCTGTGTCCCTTCATGGCTTTCATAGCAATCTAATTAAAATTAGATCTTCCATCCACTGCCAGATTTTTTTTTACATATTGCGATAGCGTAAACAGAGGTCTGGCTTTAGTCAGATTGCCATATATGCTATTTGTTTTAGTTCAGTAATTTTACCATAATGGTTTACTACAAGGTTGTTGAATTATCAGTCCTGATACATTGACTTAACAATATCATTTAACTACTTGAATCACACAATAGATGCAATCTTAATTTTAAAAGGAAAATCAAATAAATGTAGTAATTTTAGCATTCTTAATTTTATTTATAAATGTAAATTCATATACACAATGGCATGTATCTGTTTCAAAATATTTAAATCTTTTACAGGATAGAAGCTGATCACTTGAACTTGAAAGCAAATTATAATGTCTTGGACAAGTCAAAGAATTTCCTCCAGTCTTACAGAGAAGTAACAGTTGATAAGAGAATGGTGGACACAAAGTAAAAGTGCTCTTCAACATTTTGTTGAAGATCTTGGTCTGATTTGGAATTCATCTTGCAATATATCTGGATTTGTATATTTGGATATAAGCATCAAATTTTCAACGTATTGACTAAACAGTTTTGGGCTAAATATTGCCAATGCTATTTATTGTTATTATTTCCCTCCAAGATAACATGTCAAGTCTTTATTGTACCCCTTAAGCTCAGTTATACCAGAAAAATCTTGTAATGAAATCATTTAGTTTTTTTTTTCTTGTTAGATTAAATCCATGAAAATAAAGATTATTTTTAATGGCATCAATAGAATGGATTTCTTGTTTAACAAAAAGATTGTATACATGTTTTGCTAGGGGTTTGTAAGAAGCAGACCAGAATTCTTTGCTTGCAAATTTTGTCGTTCGCCATTTTTATTACGTCAACTATTAGATGATTTATCCATGTATGAAGCATTTCAAAATTGATATTTACTTACAGTTTAAAGCAGAATTCTGTACTGATATGACCTTGACCCCCTGAAGAACAAGAGTGTCAAGGTCAATTTTTTTAATACAAAAATGTTCTTTCATCTTTATGGCCCATATATATCTTACAAACAATATCATGAAATATACAAAAAGTGTCTAGAATGTGTCCAGAATGTGAAATAACAAACATGTATATAGCCAAAACCTTTAAAATGTTGTTGCTTAGCAACCACTAAAAGGTCATTAAACAGATATTTGAACTAAAATGATGCATGGATATTGCAGTTCTGATCCCTTTTTGAGAGTATATTCAGAATTTTCCATTTCAGCATCCACTGTGTAAAATTATGGCAAGAATATTGAAAAGTGTTGAAAAAAGTTGATGAAATTGTTGCACTTATTTGACCTTTGACGTCCTAAAAATAGATCTAATGAGGTCAAACTTTAACACAATTTATCTACTGTATGTCCCTTGTAATTTTATGACCTCACATCTAACTTTAATATGTGCTTGGATGCATAAATGTATCTAGATTGAGTAAAAAATGAAAATTTCTGCCCGAAAATTAAAGAATTCTGCGTTGCTTAGCAACCCCTTTTAAGTAGTTATATGCAGAATTGAAAAAAAAGTTTATGTGTTTCGTGTACTACAGTATAATGCTCTTTTGTGGGTATATCCCAAATTTCCTATTTCAACATACATAATACTTAATATTTAGCTTGAAGATTAAAAAGTATCAAAAAATTCCATGAAATTTTGCACTTAATTGACCTTTGACCTCAATTTTTACTAATAAGGTCAGTGGTTGAGCATCTAAATAGTCATAAAATATCATCTCTATGTAATCCCCTTCAAAATGGTATGAATTATGCCTAGCTTTCACCTAGGTTAAAAAAGTTAGAAGTAATTTAGTAATGACATGTCAAAAGGCCTCCAAAAACACGTAAAATGCGCCGGAAGAGAAAGGGTTAAGGAATACTATTATACGCGAGAATAAAATTTTCGCAAGCTCACTGTCTCGCGTAATTACGCGAAAATAAAGTTCTCGCGAATAAAAAGTGATTTACAGTATTAGTAGATATCGAAAATTCCTATTGTTTTGGAATTGATCAAACCAAGTCTCTTATTATCTTACCAGCGCAAACTTGATGCTTATAAATCACTTACACAGATTCAACAATAAATGTAAGGTTTAAAAAATTCTGATTGATTTCATCAAAACCTCAAATAACTCTTCTTTTTTTATCGAATAATTTCAATGAAAATCCTCCTATGCTGTTAAAAAAATAGAAAATTGTCTTAATTTACTTCCCAATACAAAGCTTCAAAATTTTTTGTAACATAATTTTCATTTTTAATAATTGATAATTTCATCATTTGAATTGAATTAAATTCACAGTCCAAGTGCACCCCGTACCTTTATCAAACCGTTTCATGTTCGGTCTTTTCAAGCTACAATCTTTTGAGAGACTTCCTTGCCAGTTCCTGAATATGTTAGAGGGCATCTTTTTGATTGGTTCTTCAAATCTGGAGAAGAACGTCTTAAAGATCAAAACCATACAAATTAAGCGATGGTTATACAATATAATTTTCTGTTAAAGTATTTCTTTAAAAATTTAATGATCATTGGTCTCTTAGGCGACATCTTTTTTCCTCATTAAAGGCTACTTGACAGTATGTTAGGGGCTACACTTTGTCTTTTGTGTATTGTTTTAATGACATTTTGTCGCTGTTATTGTATGTATTTTCTTGTATCCTATTATGGAGTATCATTATTTGCAAATTGCTTTGTTGGGAGTTGTGCAATTAAGCGGAATTCACTTGTTTTGATTTACATACAAATACAAAAGCAAGTCTCAAAGCAAGGAATAGCTACAATAAGAGCACGAAAACTCGCATTAAAGTCTTGATGCAAAGAAAGAAAGAAAGCCATAACTTTTATAGACAAACAAGGATATTAAAATCTGGAGTGATCTTTTTAGTTATACAGTGCTTATTTCTCAAATCATTCTTTTTTTCTTTAAGTATCATCTTCTTGAGATAATTCATCTATACAATTTAGATAAAAATTAATCTTGCATGCTTCTTTATGTAATCTGCAAACTTAAGGCTCTTATAATACATGAATGGAAATATATACGAACGTGTAGGAATTGACAGCAATTTAATGATCTTTCTAGTTAATTTTATACATAAGTCATCAAACTCGACATACTTTAAAGAATCACTTTGGAACTGGATTTTCTTGACGACCATTTTGTTCATCAGCCGAAGACTTTCATGCCCGACGTCTGTGTTCCTTTGCCGGTTTGAGAGTTTCAGAGGTGTCACAAATCGTCGGATGTTGATATCATCTTTGCTCTGCAACCAAACAAGCAAAACACGAACACTAAAAGTATGGTTATCTGAACCTCTACTATCCCAAAGGAGAATAACTAATTTTCAGAGATTTTATGTAGCTTAATTAAATAAGCATGTATAAGCATTGTCCAATACAAATTTTAGTTTACTTCCAAGCTGTATATTGCTCCATAATTGACCAACATTTCCTTTGAATTTATCTGAATACTACGTGTACATTAAAGAAAACCCCGCGTTGTTATCCTTACTTCAAAATTTAAAACGAAAGCTCAGAGACCTATTATACTTTTGGTCAATCGAACACAATCTGATTTTCAGGGTCACGTGATTCGGGCCGGTGATAAAAGCATCGTTCGTTAGCTTTAATCACTAATACTGCTTTAATTCATTTTAATTCTTTAGCGGATGAAGAGAAATTCGATCGTCACATTAACTCTTAGGAACAGCTTGTTTGGTCCGTGATTCGTGATGAGTATAATATGTTTTTGAACTGTATTGAGTTATTTTATCTTATGCTTCAGATCACTGTATGAAGGTCCATTAAAAGGCACGCAAGCAATGAGAATGGGAGTCCTAGAATATTTCGACGTGAGTAAAAGTGGGGAATGCCTCATCTTTCTTTTCTTTTTCACTTTCTAGATTATGATAAGCCAAAATAGGATCATATGAAGTTTACTTTTACAAGTAACGGGGGTCAATATAATTATGTTGATTTGAAACCAATGATGCTGTATCAACAAATACAATTCGAAAATCAGGGAAAGAAAAACAAAATTCTAAAATGATTGTATTATTTCTGAACTCAGTTAAATAGAAAAATATTTTCGACACTATAAAATTGTTTTTATCATGAATGCATGTTTAGAAACTGTTTGATTCCCTTTTTTACCTGTATAAGTCATGTTATCCGAAATGTACCTAATAAAAAATACTTTTTTTAAAAGACTTAAAATTTCTTTGTAAAATGAAAATTAGTACATTTAAGTTAATAAAATTCATAATGTTAAAGTCAGATTGACAAATGTTTTCTCTGGAAAATTAGCTACTTTTAATTCAAATCCTTTCTTTTATCCTTTTAATGTAGCTCGTCACATGACTAAATAGCAATCACCACGTGAGATATGACTGCATGGTGTTTTGGATTTTCCCTTTTCCTGGTTCTATTTTTAGCCAGAGTCAAAGGGGTACGCATGAAATTTTTCATTTCATTCTCAGTTTTATTTTGCTATTCCAACATTTATGTTTATTACTTGATTGTATGTTACCTCAATAGTTTCGCGTCTTAAAATCTCATTTTTATAACATCCTGGATTCAATTTTAAAACCTCTTTCTTGAGGCAATATTGAAAATAGAAAAAGAAGCGAATAATAAATTTTGAGTACTTACAATATTCTCTCGGTTAAATAGAAGCCAAAATATCACTTACTTTTTTCTTATTTTCCTTTTAGAATATTGTTGTTGTTTCCCTAGAAGAGCAAACAAAACTGTTAAATGATGCAATGCACAGATGTCTCATCTACATTCTAGACTCACAGACCAATTCTAGTTTTCAAAATGGTGAGTTTGATTTACATGTACGTTATTAACTTATATCAGCAACCTGCATTCTCAGAAAGAACGCTAAGGAAAAAATCTAAATAAATAAATGAGATAAATCCGAACCAAAAAAGGGATTCTAACCGATAATCTCTTGAGAGAATTACCATTATATTCAGCATATACAAATTATATATATAACAAAATTCATAAATAAATCAAATTAAACCATTTTGCATTTGTGAAAAAGGATGAAGAAAATAATATTTCTAGAAAGAACAACATTTTTATTTTTGCATTAAATAAAAGTAATTTAATAAGTATATTTATATATATTTTTTATCCAATCACAATACATGTGCATTGAATCAAAGAAAAGGTTAATTAAAGAAGAAAGTAATAAATTGATTAAATATCAATTTTATGTAAATTTCTTATCGCCATCTCATATAATCCGTTGAAATTAGCATATATACAGATTTGCTCAGAAGCTTTGGCGAGCTGAGTTTTTAAGAAATTCGTTGAGATGATATTAAATGAATTCCTTCACAGTATGATACAATAAATCCACAGGGGAAATTTAATCAATATATTAAAGCTTGCAGAAATTGAATCAAATATTTAAAATGGTACATTAGAGCTGATGTAAAAATCTCAATACCTGTTTCTTGTTCATTTTTTTTTCCTTTACAAAGGAACTTGCGACAAAGAAAAAGAACTATGAACCAGCCCTAAAAGCTTTTTATTTGATAACCTTGTATAAACATACTTGAAATCATCTAACATCTCTTTTCATTATACCATTATAAACTTCGTTGGAGTGTGTGTAAAATACAAAGAAATCTTTGCTGTTAACTCGTACATTTATGAAAGTTCTTTGGTGACCTTTTTCAATGTACGTGGCCTTAATGAATTCATGGCTTTTTGCACGAAATTTATTTTCAGATTTAGCTTTTAACAAAGAACAAGGTACGGTTTTCATATAAATTTGGCGGTGTATTTTTATAAAATATGGAAGTGATGTGAGAAATTAAAATTCATTGTTTCTGAATTATTGAAATTCCATTATGTAAAAAACCTACAAATACTTTTTCTTATATGACCCCCAAATTGCTGACTGTGACGTCATGAACTTGTGCACTTTCCCGTATTTTTTTCTTTAAAAAATTTCAGAAGACATCAATTTTCAGTAGAATTTTCTTTCAAAAAACACAAAGCACATGTATCGCCCTTTAAGATTTTTATATTTTATATATGTGATTTTTCAAAGCATTTTACACAGTATATCCAAAAATTGAAGTGGGAGACGGACAATATTTAATATATATCTTAAGAATATCTTAAGAAATGTATCATATTTATGAACTCATATTTCCAGAATAGTCTTCCATTATATCATATTCTTAAGGGGGATGTACGGCCACCTTTAGTGCAGTGAGAACAAAATGTAAACATTTCTTCAAATGGCTAAAATACATTATATTTTGATCAAATTTTAACTCCTTATGATAAAGATACAATAAATATGCATTACTGAATGCATGTTGTGTATATATAATCTATATTTTTGCAGAAAAATGCTTTTGATATGCTCCTTAGAACTGCGCAGCTACAGAATTCAGCAGTGCCTGAAAAAATCCAAAAAAATATGCAAACTGTGCATTAATGTTCTCTCTACAACCATTTGTTGAGAAAATGTCTAAATTTTGTACTTTTAAATGATAATTTCAAGTTCAAAACATGGTACCATTGTCTTCAAAAAGAGTGCAAAGAACCATGAAAGTAGTTCATGGATAGCAGCACGTGGTCTATTTTTAGCACAGAATTTTGTTTTCCAGACCTCTTCTTAATATGGAGGGACATAACAATCTTTTAAAAATGTAGAAGAGAATTAGAGTTGCAAAATATTTCAAATAAAATGAACACTTTTAAAAGAGGAAAGGTGTTATAGTGTGGCTTGGAGTAATTCATTTAGTATTATTATCGAACAGTTGTAATGTAGTATACGTATTGATATAAAAAATCTTAAACTCTCTGATTCTTGGTAAGGAAAAATGAGCACTATCAAAGTTAAAGAGTAAGAGTTTGTAAGTTTGCCATAGATAAATTATATTATCTATCAAAATTTTAATTATCACCAATAAAACACAAAGACATAAGACACATATAATCCATATGAATGACCTTGTTTTAATACCTACTAGTACCAGGGGTGATCAAAAAGTTTGAACTATCTCTATATCTACTAATCCACAATTCAGATTAGAAACATAGCCAAACACAAGTTCTATAAATAGCATATGCTGAAGTTTTGCTCCTTGTTTGTGATGTCACAATCTGAAAATGACGTCATGCAGGTACTTGTGTCCAAAATTCTATTTGTCCATATTGTCAAAATTAAAATTTTACAAAGTAAAGAAAAAAATCAACATAATTAAATATTTTATACCATCTTTAAAATGACGTTTGGTGGTCCTCCCAACTCAGGGAAAAATTATTGGGTCCGTATTTATAGGTGAGAAAGAAATTCCTTAAAATTTAAACACAATTGTTGACGGAAGAAAAAGAAAAAATATTGTGTAATGGGATGTAAAAAAAAAATTAGTCGGGCCATTTCCAGGCAGTAGATCGGGAGAGAGAGGGCAACCAAATATTTTTTATAACAAGTGGACTTATTATAGGCTAGTACATATTCCATCACGTACTTAGTAATGCAATTTTTTTTAATCTTTTGCACTATTTTGAAAAACAAACATAGGATTTTCGGGGGGGGGGGGGGGGGCTCTCACTTTTTATGCGATGAGAGACATAGCATATGCAATGGACCTTTCTTTGCAAACATTGTACTCGCCTCTAAATTTCAAAGAAACAACTCAATATATTTTATCAAGCTTCGTACATGTATGTTCAATGAGCGAGAGCTTACAACGTTGTCAACATAATGAGACATGATGCGTTTTTATGTCCAAACATTACTCCATACAATGTGTTGGTCAATGCAAACAATCTAGCTATTTATGTGAGGTGCCTGAAGGAAATCCTATAACTGCCTATTTTTTCTATCTAACTTCTAAACAAAATATACATTATGTACCAATTTTCGAATGTAGGACATGTAATTACAATTTGTTTTTCATGCACCGCATATTGTTTAACATTTTCAAATTAATTGCTAAGCATCCTCCTTGCAGTGCCCCATTTGAAAATAACTTCTATCGCCATAGAAAAAAGACCAGCCGTAAACACATATGTTTAGGACATTTTTATCTTTTTTTCTTGAGTTTTAAAGAAACCAACAAATTATCAAGACTTGTTCCATGAAAAATTTAATATAATCATGGTCATAAACGGATCTATCCTCAGCAGATATATGCACATGCCAACCACGTGCTCAGTGGAATAATTTTAACGAGGAAACTCGAACTGTAAACAGATCAGTTTTTCCCGATTTGCTGGAGTGGGGTTAAAATCGCGTTTTTTCATTTATCAGATGATGCGATGCAACAAATAAAAGTAGTAAGTAATAAAACCTAATGATTATTACTTAGTAATTTCTTGTCTTGATGTTATTATGGTCGCATTTATTCTAAAATCAATGTTAATCGAATTCTGTGTGACAGAGGAATGGCGGACGAAATAAACACATTGCCTCAGGAAGGCACCCATATGAAAATCAAATTTTCAAGAATTATGGATAATGACAAGAAAAAAGCGAAACAAATGGTTGTAGCCATATTATCAATGAATCAAACTAACACCATTTTCAATGCATTTATCATCTCGTAAATGCTGTACCTGCGCAGTTCTAACATGATTAATTTCCTCCTAATTAAAACAAAATAAACTTAATTGTTGACTAATTTTGGTCTCTAACAGAAGGTATTTAGTGCATTAGCAGTTTGAGTAACTTTGGGCTAGTTTAGTAGAGAATTAAGCGCATTCTTGGTATTTCTTATTTTACACCAGACTATATCCAATATGGCTTGTACATCCCCCTTAAATGATTAGCACATTCATCCACTCAATTCATACTAATGCCAATTTTACATTTTTTAAAGAACATTCAATTTTTAAGGCACAATACATCCCAATTTGTACCTTCTTCTTCGTTTTAAAGGTGAATTTGAGATTTGATCTAATCACCATATCATTAACTTACCAATGTTTATATATTTCAAGAAATAACAGAACAAAATAATAAAGAACATACACGCGAATCTAAAGTAAACAAATCAAACCTCTTTTTCTTTTTAAAATCAAAACAATATCAAAACGTAAAAATATAAAGAAAAGATAAAGAATCAACCACTTCTTAATATAGTTCTTCTCCATTAAATATATACAAAAGAAGCTCAGTTAAAGAGCTATTATAATAATTAACACAGAGCTGTCAGAGAAAATATAACATATTCTCAATAGCATTCTGTATTCAAATCATTATTTATACGAGTATGTTTTTTGGATAAATAAAATGCAATGGCGGTAATGTTACATTTTTGAGCAATCTTATTATGATATCATTTAGAGAATTCATTCAAATTTGAATTGGTATATTTGTAAGATTTGAAGATGGAGTATGTTGCTGAACTACATGTATATAACGTCGTGACCTGACCTCGGCAGGTTAAAATCTCAAGTGTTGTCCTATGTTTAGTAAGGGGTACTCAAGAGGTAGTAAAATTTCAACACTTTCTCCTGTTGTTTATTTATTTTTATTTGAATACGTATTCTGTTTTATCACTTTGTATTCTGTAAACGCCGATAACGTTATCTCTATATCAGGATTTTGATGACACTTTTAGGACATGTAGTTTTATTTGACACCCGTTTTGCTTGTTTACCTGTGTCAGAATCTCAATGACATTTTTTGACCATTTGATCAAGAATGCAGGTCAACATATGTCGAAAAAGTTAGGTTGACAAAAAGGTAGTTGCCAAAGAAAGATGTGAAGGATGTCAAGGCTATTTATAGTTCAGATAGGGTTTAAGATACACGTTGTGACCGGTCGGCAGGGGATATTCACATACCCATGGCTTCCGATCCCACCTCTGATGTTTTAGAGGCTATTGTTTGTTCTGCTCCAAATTTTTATTGTTTAATGGACTTTTGAGCATGAATAATGTTCGTTATCTCATATATTTTAGTTGAAAAGGAAATCTATATTATAGAAAACTGATTTTTTTTTTGTATTTGCTATTTTGAACTTAAAAATTGTACGAAGTATCAAAATACTGGAGTTGCCTCCCTCTTACAATTGTTCTGTATGTCTCTTTGTTTGTTTGGCATCCCTTTAAAGAATTTACACTCATATGTAGTTGCCACCACTTGATAATGTAAAGCTTTAAATTAATATCTGTACTCGAGTCTTTATCACGACATTCTCAACCTTTTTATTAAATATTAGTTATAAGATTCTAAAATATTTTAAAATGCATGGCATTTGTCTCCCTGACCTCTAAATCTGTACGTTTCCTTATCTAAGCAGTCTTCAACAATGTAGTAAATAAGAGTTTTCCATCTTTGCTTTTGGAAATAGAATGGCCACAACACCCTTGGTTTGCAATGATAATTTGTAGTGTTGCCAAGGAAGATAAGTGATGATAATAAAATATAATAAGGCAGTATGGTTATTGAATAGGAAACGTATTAGATCGCCATTAAAATCGTTACTGTGTGACACTAAAGAGTGGATGTAATCCGAGATTCCTCTGGAGTAAATGTCCTTCCTTACCAAATAAATCAGGAGTACTTTGGTATCAAAAAAGATTCCAATTAAAAAGCGTACTGATTATATTGGTATAATGTTAGCTTATTGATTCATTTTGAAAACTAATGAAAATACTTCCTGTGCTTTATACGAATATTTTTACACAGCATCTGAAACCTCGTCATGTTCTGCCACTTGGGATTCTCTAGCCTGCTGGCCCCAGACGAAGGCTGGCGAAACCGCCATTATACCCTGCCCGAATTATCTCAACTCGTTTGATTCTTCAGGTACTTCTAGTTCTCAAATGCATGATATTCTAAGTAAGAATAACAATAATATACCAACATTTCTTTTAATATATTTATACTATATGTGTAATGAAACTCATTAAACTAAACTACTAGTAAACTAAATTTATCAAGTATGGTGGTTTTTTGACATGCCTACAAAGTAACACAAATATATATTAAATCAATCTATTTTCCTACATAGCTAAAGCTTACAGAAACTGTACGGAGAACGGGACATGGCTATTTATTCCGAAGTTAAATTCCACGTGGTCTGACTATCGGGCGTGTGTAATACCAGACCCAGGAGTGACTGTCGTCCCCAAACTCATCCAGGTGGGCATCTAAAGATACACAAATGGGACTAACTAATTTTTATGTGATGAAATATACAATATAGATAAAAGATAACCATTACAGTCGTGTTTGAAAGAAGTGTTTTGAATGATGGGCAGTGACACTAATTACATGCTTTTCGTTGAATTTGAAGAAAGAAATATGAAATGGTATTTGAATTAATCTTTTTTGTAAAAAAATATAGGGAGAAATGTTTGAACTGTAATTTTCATAAGTTAATTATCAGATTAAACATTGTATCATTGAAAGAACCCTAGTATACTTCAAACAACATCAAACATCAAGCATGTTCGTGCAATTGAGATTGAAACGTCTGCATTTTCAATAATTTCATAAGATTCTTAATGAAACATCCTGAAAGGATGAAATCAATAATCTATTAATTCTCAAAATCACGACGCACAAGCGAGAAGGATTTTCCTCAAGCACTAATTAATGTTTGTCACTTTTTTTGGACGTTGACTACGGAAGTTATATACCCCTAGAGCTTAAAGAAGAATTATTCATTCCTGTTCTGTATATTATTCGTTCTCCTGATGAGAAAAACAATTTCTAAGTTTCGGTATAATATTTCAATCTATTCCTTGATAGAGATGGATGAAAGTCTATTAAGTAAAAGATCAAAAGGTCAGAGTAATGAAAAATTAAAAACTGAACTTATTAATACAAAGTTCATGTGCAGCATTATCGTCCTCATACTATTATCATTATTATTAATTTCTTTCTTAAGGACATATGCAACGTATCTTACCTACTAATAATTTTTCAAGATATTGTTAATTTAAGATTATAGTGCCATCAGATGTTCATAGACAAAAAACAGTATGCATTACCATGGTTTTTTGGAAAATATTATTTAATGAAAATTCTTGTATGATTCAAAGAAAAATATATAAAAAATGCTAAACATATATATTATAGGGGTTTCTTTTATAGAAATTTGTTTTAGAAAAAGTGTGTAACACGATGATTTAGACATTAAAGTATAGCACACAGTTCCTTCAAGAAATGGAACTCTTCAACTCCATAGAAAAAGACAAATAACGTTCAAACTACGTTGCGTATGTCCTTAAGACATACATCATATTATAGCATTTCAATAACATATAATAGAAAACTAGTAAAAGATGCTACGTATACTTACCTGTACTTACATGTACTTACCTGTACTTAATGTTTCCTTCCTCACAGGACCACATGGATTCCATTACGATGATGTACACCATTGGTTATGGCGTCTCCCTGGTCTCTCTCCTCCTGGCCACGGTCATCATGCTGATGTTTAGGTAGGGTACCTTCACTAGCTTCAGAACTAACTATTTGACTGGACATATGTGTATACTGCAAAATTTAAATAACTTGAAGTGTTATGAAGTGAACGCGTAGGAAAAAAGTTGTAATTTAAGGATTGGTGTATGTTTGTTAGTAATTAGTTGTTTACAGAACGAAATACATATTCTAAAAAAGATTTATCTTTTGTTCATTTGTGTATCTATTTCGTTGATAATTAAAACCTTGATCCAATTTTTGCTTTATTACACTTTAATTAGGAAACTTCGATGTCCAAGGACTACAATTCATGTCAACTTGTTTGCGTCCTTTATGATTCGGGCTGCATTCTCATTTATGAAGGAAAATTTATTGGTTAGTGGAGTGGGGTTCAGTGGTGACGTCATAGAAACAGCCAATGGTCATGTAGAATTCAAAAGCGAGGGCACAGTAAGCTTTTTTAATTCAGACTCAATATATGTATATATGCATATTTAAATAAACATGTATGATGTCATGTTGCTATACACACAAGATTAATGATAATGTTTATCAGAAATTTCAGAAAGTTACACTTTTTTCTGAAAAAGGAATGTGTTCATAAAACAAAGATAATGAAACTTTAACAATCTTAATATGACTTGATTTGGCGAAAATAAATGAAATGCATTCCTTTGTTTAGCACTGGCAGTGTAAACTTTTCTTTACGATCTTCTACTACTTTCTGGGGGCTAACTACATGTGGATTTTGGTGGAAGGCCTGTATTTACATCTCCTCGTCTCAGTTACCGTCTTCTCGGAAAGGAGTGGAGTTAAATGGCTGGTTCTGTTTGGATGGGGTAAAGAACTTGCAATTTATGTTAATTACAAAGCTTTGTCTATGTCTATTAAATAAAATTGCACATTTCGAGTTACTCAAAATGTATCTTTTTTTCTCATTTATGATTTGTTTAAGAAGTATATCAGGAGGTACATGTAGCTTAACATGACGAAAAGCATATATAAATGATTTAAGATGTGTAGATAGGAGATGCGAAACATTTTACTTGCATTTTACTTAAATTTAAATTCAAGATAAAATAATTTAAAATTTCAAAATAAATTTCAATTACCCTTTGTTTTTTTTCAAATGATAAATAAATAAATATATACTGCATTCTACTTCAATTAAAATTGGAGATGGAATAATTTTAACATTTTCAGAATAAATTTCAATACCCCTATTCAAATAAATCTAATCAATTCTATCCTATATTTTTTCAGGTTCACAGTTGCTGTGTGTTGTACCATGGGTGATAGTCAGAGCAACGTTAGAAGATGTGCTGTAAGTATTCCTTATCCATCGTAAGAATATTGCTGACCTATGTTAAGTGATAATCCACAGAACAAAGCTACTGTAACTTCCAGTTTTCTCTTGGGAAAGATAAGTTGTAAATAGCCGATACCTGTTTTTTTTAAAGTCGTTGCACTAATAAGATACGTTTTCTTCCCTTTCTCAAGGTGCTGGAATACTCACCCCTCCCCGGGGTATTTCTGGATTTTACGTGGCCCTATAGTAGCATCGGTAGTGGTAAGGAATATTGATTGATTTTCTTATCAATTTGATGCAGTTAACCTATTATACATCAATCGTGCTCAGACAAAAATGATTGTAATTTGAACTTGATCATGTAAGAACAATTGCTTGACATACATCATTTACTTACAAAAGACTTATTGTCCATATACGTTCTCTTATGCTGGGCAAAACTCATCTTTTTGGATTTTACCTAAAAAAAATTAAGTTCACCATTATTTGTAAAAGAAATTTATCATTTAAAGGATGAATGAATGAAATGTTCAATATACAAATCACATTTTCAAATTAGTAATTTTATTTACAGGTAAACTTTGTGATTTTCATCAATATTATTCGAATACTCTTCACCAAACTTAATGCTTTTAATGCAAATGAAACGAAGAAATTTAGGTATAAGTAAGTATTTCTTGCATATTTTTTGTACTAATGCATATGTGTGAGAAATATATATAGAATTAAAGTTTTTTAAATGTCTATTAATGCTCTTTTGAAGAGTATCTTGCCAAATATGCCATTGCATGAAGTAACTTAAAATTGTACGGATGTTAACACTAACTGTTTTGTGATATTAACTCAGTAATACCTATTCCAAAGTTCTTCCTTTTTACAACGGGGTCATTATTCTTCATTGCAGGTTCTCATTGTTTTGATAAGTACTAAGTTCACTTTAACTTAATATAGTTTATTTTTTTCCCTTTTGTTCATGTAGATGAAATGTAACATTTGTGTTGTAGTGAACTTTGCTTTAACCTAATTATGATTTTAAATGAACCAACTATGTTTTAATTATTTCCTAATTGCTGTAATGAGTCACGAACCAGGTTAAATGTTTTATAAACCACTTTGATAAGCATTTTAATGAAAACCATGTTGTTACTATGTGTTAGAAATGCATGTTCAATGACATATCGATATCTGATAATGATTTATCTTAAGTTTTATAGAAAACCACCTTTAGTTTTTTTTCTTCTGAATTTTTCAATCTTGTCTCTGATTTTATCACGGTTTGGCCTTTTGCACTCTTTATTTCAACTCTGATGTTTAACATGTGTTCCTTTCAAAGGAAAACGTGCTTTCATTAATCTAATAAATATTTTTTTTTAATTCCTTGTGTTGTTGTGTTATTGAAATGTCCTTACTCTTCAACATCCACTATATTTTGCAGCTAAGCGAAATGAATGATGAAGTAAAAAGTAATTTCCATGCCGCTTCATGCAATGTTTATGTTGGTAAAGTCCAGCCTGCTGAATGATAAAGTGACCTCTATCTTTCAGGAAACTGGCCAAGGCAACATTGGTTTTGATTCCCCTGTTTGGGGTCCATTATGTTGTGTTTATTGGACTACCGGACAGAGTCAGTGACGAAGCAGAACTGGTCAAACTCTACTTTGAAATGTTCTTTAACTCATTTCAGGTAACACTGCATTGTATACATTATGTCTCTCTTAAATTCGTGTATACATACATTTTTCTCTATTTCCATTCTGAATATAATAATGTATGCTGTATAGTTTTGTAATAATGCATTCACAAGAATATCCCTAGATTTTTAACAATTTTCCATAAGATAAAGATGAAATCGAGGATAGATAAAGTCATTTGATTTAACAATCAGATAGTGTATAATTATGATTTATTGTTAGTTTTGTCTTTTTGTTTTGCAGGGCTTCATAGTAGCTCTAATTTTTTGTTTCTTCAACGGGGAGGTTAGTCACATACCATAAAAATATACTCATCTTTTTCATTAAAATTCAAAATTGATTTTTCTTCAAGCTGCCAATTAAATGTTCACTTTACTCAGATAAAGTGATTAATTGTATCTAATTATAAAAAATACAATTCGACAGGTACAAGCAGAAATAAAGAAAAAATGGCGGCGGTTTCTGATATCACGTGGTCAAGGGCTTAGCCGAAAAAGCACACGAGAGACTATGACATCATTTATGTCGCACACGCGTGGCGGATCATTGGGATCTACAACAAATTCTCAAGATTCAAAAGAACATCAAAATGGAAATTGTACCCGTGAAACGTCGCTTATTGGATATCATGAGGAACTTCATCCTTTACAGAAAAACAAGGTGTATGTGAAAGAAAATGGTGTGTATCAACACCAAAACGGAAAACAAGACGAATGTAAACCATTAAGTCCGGATCAATTGAATGCTTCTTGTTAAGTGATGTATATATTTCACAATGAGATCTGATCAAGGATATGTGATTTATTCAAGGACAGAGAGATTACAAAAATATTTACCTAGTCCAAAAACGGTAAAATCATCTGACATACTTCATAACTGGATTTGTCTGAAACAAAACATTGTTGTTGCAATGAAAAATATATGAACTACTGTAAACGTATATCGTTTAAATGTATATCATTTATAGATTAGTTTTAAAGGCAGCAGACTTTGTCCTTGATCGCAGTATATTTTGGGTTTTACACAAGGGTCTTGTGTACATGTTGCAGATGTAGTTTTCTTTTACTGTAAACCAACTTTTATTTGCCACTACTTTATTTCGCGATTTTCCAGGGGTAAAATAGTTCGCGCAAATTTATTTTCGCGATCAAGCCTTTTTTGGCTCTGTTGTTAATAAACCCAGAGATTCATGAACCGGTTCGCGGCGAGAATTATTCGCTATGTTGAGACTACTTGTAACTCGCGAAAATTTCTCGCACGCGAATAAAAGTTGTTTACAGTACATGTTGACCTGTCTCATTCTCTACTTAATAGTCTTCATGCCCAAGAATCTCATTGTACATGTACGAAATTCATGCCCTGTCTATTAACATGTGCTTACTCTGTGATCAAGAATTATATTTGAAGATTGGAGTGCAATCAATTGAGAATATCTATTAATATATTTATTTTTGATGTATAATAATATTGTTTTTTTATAGAATATCTAATGTTTATAAATTAGTTTTAATTTTTTATAGTATATGAAAAGTATATGATTCTAAAACAGAATTAAGCAAGGAAAAGGACATTGACTAAGAGGTGTACACCATGCAGAGAAATGATAGCAAAAATTTGTGTAGAATTGACTACTAAAACATTTTAGGAGGACACAATTTGATTCCATGTATGTAGTTTATAATATTTATAAGTTATTTCATGACCATGTAGATATTGTTATAAGTAAACTTTGTACTTGTTATTGTTTTTAAATTATTTCATACCAAAGATTTTTATAATTTATTGCAAATTATTTGATTGATACGAGACTGTGATTCATTTACATGTACCATGTAGATATAAAGTACATTTTTATAAATAAATGAAGTTGTTGGTCTCAAGTTTATTTAATGGTGTCAAATATACGTTTATATATCATATCTTGAGTATTCCCTATTTGCTTTCATTGCTTTAAAAGATAAAAAGTACTACGTATATTTCCACAGCCCCTTGACTTTCTTAAATTGTAATGCATTTTAATGATAATGCAACAATTATTCTTTCTTTTAAAAGATAATGGAAACCAAATTATAATTTATATCAAATGTTATTTATTTGTTAAAATTATTTATAATTTTAGTGTCACATTGTTAGATCTTAAAATTCTTGTACTTGCCTGTTTAATATTGATTGACATTTTATAATTTAAGAAAAAAGGCTGATGAAAATTATTTAATTTTCCTACATTTTCTTCTCTTGTTTAGTTTTTCTTGTCTGTTCTATATGATGTGATTTCAATCTTTTCTCAAAATGTTATCAGTCAATCAATGTTAAGTTAAGTTATGTGACAGTTATTACAATTTCTGGTCAAATGCACTTTTAATGTTTCCTACTTCTCAGTTACTGACCAAGTACAACTAAATCAATGCCAGAACAGCAGGAAATTTCACAGATGAATTTAATGTGTGATAAATTCATGAGGTCATTAGACGTTAGTGCTTCATGAAAAACATGCTGGCGTGAAGCGATGTAGCTCATGTACCTCATGGATTCTAAAAAAAAAAATTAAATTCATATCTTACATTTACATTATTTTTCTGATAACTTGCCACATACTTTTGAAAAAAATATGCACTATTTTTAGACTTCAATCACATCACAATGGAAATAGTTTTACTCCACCTATGGTACATGTAGTTTAGGGGAACATGAATCTTTTTATTCTGATTTGCAAAGAATATTAAGGAAAAATATTTGGAAATGTACGTCAATATTTCGATATAAAATATAGCATCTTTCCTAACTGAAATGAATATCACATTCAGAAATATTAATAATACTAAACTCTCATCTCAGGAATTACATCAATGGATGTTGAACAAGTATAAGTTCCAGTAAATTAAAAACATGGAAAATTTTAAGAACGTAAAAAGCATGTGCTGTATAATTCCTCTTTCTGAAAGCTGCTTCAATATCAAAGTAATAAGGTTAAAGCATACAAGCAAATTCGTTTGAAATAAAATTTGAAAATGACATATACCAAGATGTTGGTCTGCATCGTATTTTATATATACGATTTCAACTACATTTACATTACATTTACATGCAATTACATTTTTAAACATGTAAATCTTATAAAACATCAGAAATCATTTAAAGACACAGTAAAGTTTGTACTTCCGTTCGAAAACTTTCAAAGGATCTCGCTAACCAATGAATAAGAGAAAACGATAATTTAATTAGATAAAGGAAACATGAAACTAATAGAAGTATCTAACTGACAGTGGACAATTATTCAATTAGAGGAACATTTATTGATAAAATGAAGTGGGTCACTTTATTTACAATCGATTAGAAAGATTTTTTTAAAGCTTTATATTTCGGTAAATGAATTGATGGAGTTTTTTCCTGAATCTAAAAAAAATAAAATGGAAAGATATTCGAACTCTTCTTCTTTAAAGAATCATAATGTTTTGGATTTTTTCTTTAAGTCATAATCAGATTGTTGACAAAACTGTTTATCTTTATTCCAATCCATGGCCTTGACCTTTTATGCAAGACTCCGATTCAAAGTGAAGCAACAAATTAAATATCCTAAATATTAACCTGATTCCAGTCAAGGATTTGAAGTTATGGGCATTTTGTTGTTACAACTAAAATCCAATGAAAAAGTCGAAACTTTCTCTTCTCTCAGATAGAGAAACAATTATTAAGCAATAATTACCAGTAATTAATTAATCTTAACTTCTTTAATATTATTACATCTGAATTTTTTAAGAGCGGAAATATTTTTCACTAAATATTTAAATATAGCTTCATAAAGAAAGAAAATTAATGATCTGTGATAATTAAAAGTGTGTTATGTCTCACCTACAAGCGAAAAGCAAGCAGATTTCTTTTCAATTACCTGATGAAATTAATAACTCTTTTCCTCTCTCAAACAATTACAGATCTACAAGAAAATATTTTATTTAAACAAACTTTTCAAAAAAATGATTGCATGTTAAGTCGTTGAACCGTTAACGCTGTGACAAGCATGTGGTTATTAAACTTGATGTTAAACAAGATGTTGTAAAAAAAGTAACAGAATTTGATGTTTAATAAATTATTGGTATTGAATCTGTTATTTGGGACGCACGTGGCGCAAAGGCCATGAGGTCTCTAAATAGTCTGGGGAGAATTTTTCTTATTTTAGTAAGTATATCTGTAATTGTTTCTTGATGTATATTTCTAAAATATTACCATAAAGATATGAAGAATATTTAATTATACGGATGCTAACACAAATATACACATTAAAAAACTGACATGCATTGGTACATGTGATATTATATTTGTTTATTCCTTTGTATTGAAGAAGCGCAACTTTCATAAATAGAGTGAGAATTTGGTTATCAATATGTATCATAGATATGATAATCAAGCTTTTCTGATTCAAAATAACAAAAATTTTAGACAAGTTGTAATGCACGTGTTGATTAATTCGTATTTGAAGTGAATGATTTCGATTCAACAAATAAAACCGTTGTTATATAAGAAATAGTAAAAATATATATGTATCTATACATTTTGCGCAGAAACTTCTTCGTTAAGAGAGTGATTTAGTCAATCTTAAGCGATATGTCAGCTTAATTCAAAGAAATATTGTACCAATATGTAGAGTTTATTTTGAAGAAAAAAGGGTGCAATGCACAAGCAAAGACACATTTCTTATTTGACAAGGCATTGCGGGGGAAAAAAGTTCTAATCTAATGAAACATATGGAGATTACGAACAGTATTTAAGATTAAAAGTTCACAAAACAATACAAAATAGGAGCAGAGTGAACGTGGACCTTCAAAACATCAGAGGTGGGATCAATTGCAATTACTTCAAGTACAAATCCTTAATAGTTCTTAATAATTCTTCAAATTGTCTACAGTGATTAAGTAACAAATTCGATCTTCCTCCTATCTATTGTTAAATTCTTCGTTGTATAATGCTGAAAATTATCGAAATAAACAGAATTCCTCAAAAATCTCTAAGTGTGTTTCTACGTCTCCAAAAATCATTAACCGCTTGACATGCTTGTACATTTATTCTCCGACACTACATCAAAACCAGGAATCTCATTTCTGATTGTCTTATTAATTTCCTCTCAACGGACAAGATTGTGTACATCATTTGTCAAACTTATAGAATTGACGAATATTAACCGAACACACAGGACATGATACAGGTTATTGGTAGTAGAGAACTACAAAAGGAAACATCTATTGATAGAAAGCCATCAAACATTATTAATAGGTAACATAAAATTTCGCATGTAGATGTCAATGACGGTCACTGATTTTTTGACATTTTAACAAGATTTACAAAATAACAAAAATAAAAAAATGATGCTTTTTGAAAACTAAGAATTTCATACCATTTATTTTATTTTTGAATCATTCTGAACTACTTATATACATGTAGTTATCTATTATATATGCTTTGTGAATAAATATACAGAGTTTAACCATGAATGAATATGTTCTATATGTAATCATAATAGGTAATAAAGTCATGTTAGAACTTAGAAATAGAAAAAAAAATGTATCATTATTATGCTCCATGGGTAGCAAAGTTTGGTTGAAAAAATTACCTTTAATATATTTATTCTGACTCCTCCATGTCACCTAATCCCACCTCATTGGAGGTCCGTGTTTGCTCTGCTCCTGATTTGTATTGGAAAAAAGACTTGAAGCGTAAACCTTTTCGTTATTTCCATATTTTATTTACTACAATTTAACATTCTTATTTACAATTGCTTGATCTTTTTTTTTATATAGGCTGTAGGAAGTCATGTAATTTCGGGTCAGACAGGCTCAAAGTACAAGGACCCTACGCCGTGGGATTGTCAGTACTCAGGTAAATGTGCCGTGCAGGGTGACCTGAGCCCTCTGTCCAAAATCCCGGCATCTCAACACGAGATACAACTTCTCAACGACCAGAATGTCCTGACGTCAGCACCACAGTTAAAATCTAGCAAGGATATGATACATACTCTACCAGACATTATACCTACTCTGCCAGACATGCACGTCTCCTTTGTCCATTCTCCTATCGAGCCTATCCCAGGCAAAGATGTTCATCTTGAGGCAGGCCTACTTGACAGTATACCAGCAATAGGCAAAAATGTATGGATATCCAACCCTCATTTTAATCACGGAGTTGATACCTCTAACACATGGATGTCGTATCCCATGATTCCTCTGACAGACAAGAGACTAAAAATTAATACCAGTCCTGATCTTCAGATTCCTGTCGGGAAACCATTACAACAACCTGTCAAAGGAATCCCTATCCATCTACCTCAAGAACCAATTCTTCCATCTTTGCCAATATTAGAGAAAACTGTTTTTCCAATACCTTCTAAAACCCAGGGATCGGTCACCATACATGAGTTTCAACCAGGTTTTATTTCTAATAACATCCAACCTAAGCAATTCCTTACATCAAAATCCAGAATATCTAACTTTCAAAGTCAGTCTTTACATCCAGCCCAATTACCACATTCACCTAAAATTTTGGGGGCAAATAATTTTCATGATTTACCATTAGCTGTGATGTCTGTGCCACCACTTAGCCCCCCTATCGGACAAAAACCCCCCAAAACACCTCAGAAACCTTTTCCTATTCCTAAAAACGCCATCCAAGTTCCACCAAATATTCCAGTCCAATCCCCTCCTCTAAAGGGAAATATTTCTCCTTCTAGTCAACCCATTATTCTACCTAGTCTGCGCAGTTTACCAATGGCTGTAATGGCTGTTCCTCAATTTAATCCTCATAAAGTACCACAGCCAAATTCAGTACCTCCACAACCTTTGCCACCTCAACCGAAAATTATTAAAATCACCATTCCAGACCGGCAACCAACACGACCAATAAGGAAGAACATGTTTTTATCTAGTAATTTGGTGAGAGTACCTGGAATATCCGAAAGATCTCTACATCGTCAAGTTTTTGCAAGAGACTTTTTGAGACATATTAGAGGTTTAGATAAATCAAGATTTCAACCTGGAGTTCAAAATCTTAAATTCCCTATCTTTGCTAGGGACAACCGTCTTCGACATTCAGGAAGCACTAATCGGGGAGGAAACATTGTAAAGAAAATAAATACTGGGGGAACCATTGGAGGGGGACAGGTAGCGGGTGGTATGCAAGCTGGACATGGAACTGTATCACGACGTCGACAAATTTCAAAAACCGGCATGGGTGATATTTTAAGAATGGCTCAAATGCAATTATCCTCCGCAGATATCATTCAACTGTTGCGCAGTTCTAAAAACCATCAGCAAACCTTGGATACCATACTTAAAGGTTACATAAATCTTCAAAGCAACGCCAGGATTACAAAATTATTTAATGAATCGTATAGAGCTAAGCTTCTCCAATTGATTCGGTTTTATCATTATCTTCAGCCCGGTTCGAAACACCGTGAACGTGTCGGGGAAATCTTTATGAAAAGTATTGATAGATTACAAGAAATGGCAGAGCAAGAGGGAGAAAGGGAATCAGGTGGAGGTGGAATTGGGACAGGAGGATTGACTGGGGGAGGAGGAGTGGCTGCTGGCGGCTGGGCAGCAGGTGGCGGTGGGGTATCAGGAGGAGGAAGTGGTGGTGCTGGGGCAGCAGGCGGTGGTGGAGGTGGTGCCGCCGCAGGTGGATCGGAAGGTGCAGAAGAAGCTGAATTTGAGAGAGGTTTCGACAATGGTTCTGATTCCAGTTCAGATTCAGACGACGATGACAATGGATATGTCAAGTATTGGTAACTTCGGTGATATAAAGCCATGAAGCATAATTGATGTGTAAACAGTATTTTACTACAAAAAAATGGACTTATTATACTTGGTGATGGATTCAGAAATATTTGTCTTTGTTTTTTAAAAGTATTCTTTCTTTATCTTACAATACCTATACTTAAAGGTTTATAAAGGTTTAACTTTTAACCAATGATTATGAAATTTCATTAAATCGATATATTATTTATATTTACATGAAGTCAATGTTTTCTTTTTAACAAATATTAGAGCATCGGCAGTATTTGAGGAAGTACAATTCACTAATTAACAAAAAATATCTGATTTTTTCTCATTATCGTCATTTTTTTTTTTTACAAACATAGGATAGATGTATAAATATTTACAACATTAATCTTGTAAAATGTTGCGATGCAAGCATGAAAGGTCCGGTATCAAAGGTTGATCATGGGGTAGGTGTATTGAGTATCAAGTCACACTTCTTCCACGACTTTGTTTCGATGTCCATGTGGTCATTTAACACCATAATCTATGTAAATTTTGTACCTGCAAAAAATTGCCAGTGGCGGATCTACCCCTTTCATCATCTGCTCGAATCTGCAAAGACCTTACAATTTGGTTAGGTTTTTGATTGTATTACTATCATCGGTATTGATTTAACATATGAACACCTCTGGAGGATCTGCATACCTTGCGCCGATTGGTGACACTATGTCTGTATACAGTACCAGTACAATTCTCACAGTTATAAAGACTCCCTTCATAGCTAAAGCTAAGAATTTGTTTTACCAATATTCACTTTATTCCAAAAGATGAGAAAGGGTTGGATTGAGATATAATTTAAACTATCCTGCATATACAATAACTAGAAAACATTTCAAAAATGGATTTGTAAACGCCAATAAGTAATCTAATTGGCTCGAATGTTCAAGTTCTGCCGACGGCAAACTAAACACTCTAAACATATTTTTCATGATTACTTTTAAGTTTCCATATCTGTAAATTCATTCGAACGCTCGATTAACCTTATCAGCATTCATCCTTACTGTGGGCAGTCACAATATCTAGTTGAGCTTAATGAACGTAAGATTAATGTCAATAATAAAGAAATAATACCCTTTAGAGTGTAAGATGTCTTGCTAATTGATCATTTTTAAAGAATTAGCAAAGCACTCGAGATTCTTTTATAATCAAGAAAACATATGCATGGAATGAAAAAAAAAACTATTAAAGAAATGAGTGCTTTCAGTAAAGGAAAAATAACTCAAAAATCATGATCATGTCTTATCATGATTTTTTTTAAAATTTTCATTCCCCTAATTTTCCGTTTGGTTAATGTTTTTTTCTAATTTTTTGGTTGTAGGTTTAGTAAGAACAAATAACATTGGATATTAAGTCGTTCATTTTACTTTGAAGTGTAACCATAGTGTTTCTAATTAAGATTTGCAGATTGTTTAGCACAGCTTTAAGGTACTCCGATCCTCAGGTTCTGAAAATCAAGCATTGACTAATTGAAAATGCTCACAAAAATGTCTCTGAATTTTCAAAGTAACGTGTTTTTACCCATAATAATTCTTCAATTATCTTTCAAGTTAATCATAATATATAGAGAAAATTAGTAAATCTCAAATATATTTTCAGGAATTGCGAATAAAAACACCTGCTATGCATTTTCCAATTCAAATTTGATCAATTAACACATTTCAAAAATAAAAATCATAGGTATCCAGTCTTTTGAAGAAATTTCACAATTTTTATACATATAATGCACTTTAATCTCTTTTATTTACTTCTATCATTTTACAATTCAAAGTGTATAAAGATTCCCCTGTAATTGCAAAGCTCCATAAATCATTTCTAATTTCATTGGTATCTATGGTAAGATTAAAATGAACATTAATTTCTTGATATATGTAATTCTAAAATGCTTTTACGGGGTAAAAATTTCAACTTTTAATTAGACCTTTCTGAGAACTTCAAAGAACCTTGAAACACATTGAGAGGTATATAATGAAAATTGCTGCATGAAAAGATTTAAATTTCAAGCTTCATTTTGAGACTTTTTGAATTAAATTATAAATTTAAGAGTTGTCCTTCCTAGTTGACTGAGGATCGGAGTCCCTTAAAACCGAATCGTTTTCCCACATAGGATGGTAAATCATAGTAAACGCGTCATTTTCATCCAATGTAAAAGCACGTGGTAGTACAAATAAAAAGCAAAAAAACTGCTATGAAACAAAGAATACTGTGAAATCACAAATTTTCGTGGAGGTTAATTTTGCTGTTTTCGAGGTATGAAGAGACCTACGAATTCATGTCCACTATGTATTTTTCCGCAAACCACGAAAATTTGAACCCAAGAAAAAAATGTGATTTTGCAGTATATTTTATTAGAAATGATAAATTAACGATTCTTTCCTCACTTGCAATATTAATTGATAAATATTCACAAACATAAACTGATAAATATTCACAAACATAAACTGATAAATATTCACAAACATTCACAATCATAAACTGATAAATATTCACAAACATAAACTGATATAAACATTTACAACATGAAATGCTAAAAATTCACAAACAAATAATTTATTTCTCAACGTTTTGAACAAAGACATGCCTTTAAATAACTTCTCAACTGGACTTCATCTTACTCACGACTCATACATATAGCAATAAAAAGCAAAGTACATGTACATACTAATGCTTAACAATTATAATAATTATATTATAATAAATTATGATAAAAAAAGGAAGGTAAAAGACATTTTACATGTATTCTTTTTTTCTTTCTCTGCCTTTTTCTTGGGAATATGAAGTGTACTGAAGATTATTGAATCACACCAATTACTTGAGAGCCTCTTCATCAAAAGACACGTCCACAGACTGAAAGAAAAGAAGATAAGTAAAAGAGATCAACGTCATCTTCAGTAAATGAACACATGTACAATATACCTTCAGAACCTCCGACTTCCACTATTTTTTAATGATTACATTATGATATTTTCCATGGATCAAGGAAAGGTAACATTTAAGCAAAGCGAGTACAGCTCAACGCACTTTTTAAACTCATATGGTTTTTCGCACAAATTAAGGTCACTTTGTTATAAATGCAAAATTGTGTAACGTGACAACAAAATATAATAAATGATTTATAACTTAATTTTGATCATATTCCATTACTTTAAACATAATTCACATATAATAATTGGTAGGACTTTTATATGCTCTTGGATGATATATTATGAGAGTTTCCAAATGGTTTTTTCATGGTTTCTCGTCAATTGCAACCGTCTTTGTATCTATTCATTTTAAAGCAAACTTTTGCCTTGTCTTAATACAGAAACAGTGCAGTTTATGTAACTTCTGTATTTTCTTTACATTAATATGACACTAAGGCACAAGAAGAAAGAAGTATTTCTCATCTGTTCGACTGCTTTCCATGTTAAAAAGATGGCATTTTTCAGGTTAACCTCCTGAAATATAGCATCACGAAAGATACCCACTAACGCAAAATTTCAAAGTTTCTGGCCATAAATGTAAAAAAAAATTCTTTTCAATATTTACAATTTACTACGTTGAAAGATAAACAATTCTTTATTATCCTATCCTTTCACATGATTTCTTTATGCAGTTTTGTCATTTTTCGGCGCTGCATTTCGACAAAACCAAGACAAGTATGGAAAATATGCAAAGTACCTAGAAAAATACTCATTTGTAAGAAGTCAGTTTGAACATTTCAACCAAATAGTATCAAAGACAGTTCGATTAATTAATTTGTAAATACCTACATGTATCACAATATAAAATCATACACATTTAACATCAAACAATTTAAAAACAAATTCCCTTTTAGAACATTGACTTTTAAAACTTTAGATAATGATTTTAGAGAATATGCACCCTAACATGACATATTTAATAATAGAAGAGTTATGTCTCCTACTGAAACTCGATGATTTTAAGTTTTATTGCAAGAAAATTGTTACTTTAATTTGTGCGAAAAACCAAGTGAGTTTAAAACGTGCGTTGAGCTGTATATGTCTGGTGACATATTCACGATTCAGTGGTGAGGATAAGCTTATTTATTTATTTATGGAGCATAGTACCAGGTATTTCATCATTTTTATAATATTATGAGGAAAGCATAGGGTACTGTTTCTTATCTTCATAGCACTATCATAATGATGGGTCGACATAGGATTTTTACTCCTCCATGACACCCGATCCTACCTCTGATGTTTCAAAGGTCCGAAGTATCTCTATTCCCTTTTAGTATTTTTTTCTTTGAACTTGATTGTTTGATTATTGTTTGTTAACTCCATATCATGATGAAAACTAGAGGTACTGTGAGCAATGAGCTCACTAAATGATACCCCCCGCCTCCCATATGAATATAACGGCAGCGTCCATGTTTTGCTCTGGAAAATCCAAAATATCTGTCAGATCAAAAAGTAAAATAGGAGGTGCACAATGGCAACATGTAATGAAGATTCTGTGAAAGTTTCATTAAATTTCCTTCAGTGGTATGAGAGGAGTTGCGGATAAGAGATGGGTACCCCAAAGCGTAACAGACGGACGGACGTACAGACGGACGGACGGACGGAAATACCGATTACTATATACCCTCCCACTTTTCAAGCGGGGGGTATAATAAACATTAATCACAGAAACTCGGAAATAACAGATTGAGTACTTGGATACTATATAACAACTATAAACATACGTCATATTGCAGTGTACTGTTCCTCTCCATTTTTCTCCGCCATTCATCCTCACCCCTCTGTCTCATCAAGGCGTGGTGCCTCCAAATTCTGTCGTACGTAGAGCCCTGAACAACCGCTTTTCTTCTCTGATTAAAATATAACACATACTCAATTTTATAATTGTTTTGAAACAAAAGAGGCCAGCGTTTTGAATGAATACTATACATATGCACTATACATATTTATAAATATTTCTCCTTTAAAGGGACATGGACACAGTTTCAACTGAATTTTTTAAACCAATTTTAATGCTTACAATTCCTAACTAAGGCATCATCTAATGATCAGCAAATATTTGAACATCATTTATTGATTAACAAACGAGATACAGAACTTAAAGTTCTTCATAATGTAAACTAGGCTCGTACCTTGTTTTTGTTTACATATAGAAAATATCATATTTATAACAAAATGAAATTCAGCAAATCTATAGAAACTGTCTAATTGTGTTTAGAATTAACTTCTTTATTGCAATTATCTGCTTTGAACAAACAAATATAAGTCTATCAATCTATGTAAACAAAACATGACATGGACCCTGTTTACAAAACATAGGTTTGGAGCTCTAAATCTGTCTAGAATCTCGACAAATGAAGTTCACATTTTTGATGATGATAAGAAAGATCTCAGTTTAAATATTTGTAAAAATGAAAAAATAAATTTGAAAATTTTAAGCTGAAACTGTGTCTATGCCCCTTTAAATTACTAAGAGATTTCTAACTTCTAGAATACATGTACTTAGCAGTTTTGCTTATTTTTCTTTAGAATAAGAGTACATTTTTTTCTATATTAAAATCTCTTTCCTAAATATGTCTGTAATTCTACCTTTTCCTCCTCCAGCCAGAGTTTGTTGTACAGTTGATGGGAGTTTCTATCGTTTTCTGCCCGTGTGGCTTCATTGTGTGACACTAGCTGTGTATAATAATGATCAAACTGTTCCATCTTTTCCCTTACAATATTTTCTACTTTCAACCATCTGGCCTTAAGGAACAATGAAAATAAAAATAGACAAACATTAAAGTATTAACGTATTAACAGGAAAGCCGAATACTAATACGTTTCCATTATCGTACCCAATGTACCAACCACAAAATTAGATAAAGTGGAAGTCCTATATGAATGCAGATGCTAATGATTTTATTTAATGAAGCTCAAACCACTAATAAAAAGTGCTTTTTGGACTTGGATAAAAAATATATCATGTAAGGGGTGCATATTGGGACTATTTGGTTAATTTTTAACATAGGGTACCTGCCTTATTGCTACAGGAAAAATGTTCAAAGACAATATCACTGTTGTTTACTTGCATAAGGAAAATAAACGGAAAAAAATGAATTTCTTTATTTATTTTTGGTCTAATAAAATGCGAAGAATAATTTAATTATTACAAATAGTGTAATTTAGTGTAAATAACCATTTTTTTTATCTTAATTGTAAGGGCAGATCACTCTAGACTGCATAAAACTACCCTATAAATAGAATTCTTTAGTGTTCAGTGCTTAAAGCCTCCTTAAAATCATTAGATGGTATTTTCTGGGGTTTATTTTAAACAAGTACCTCGTTTCTTCTCCATGGTTCCTCGGATGAGGGATCCCTCGTTCTGGCTTTTGATGAATCTCTCGGTGTCTTTTGTGACGTGGAACCCGAGATCTATTATAATGGAAAGGGTAAAGATAAAGGTGAACAATTTCCTTTTTTTATGTTTAACTGGCTCAGAAAACACAAGAGGAGGGGTCAGGTGTCTGAAATGGGTAAGCAATTTACATGATACCCCTGGAATTGGGATTTTTATTCAAGAGCAACATTTTAACTTATTTTTTCAACCTTAATTTTTTTTTACACAACAGTAATAATGTATGCTTGTATTTCTTTGTACACATCTTTGCGTTCAAAATTTTTGATTGTGTTAAAAAAGAAATGGATTCTTTGGATAAATTTAATCTTCTCGAAATTTTGGATTTGACCTTTGGGAAAAATCTATTCTGCATTGGGACTGGATCCTCTTAATGGACCTCCTGTACTAGATGCCCTTGAAATGGGTTATGAAAGACTTAGAGAGACCATTTGAACAATATTTTATGGTTGCAGCAGATAATACTTATACATGTAATAATATCTTCTTTGTGTGCAAGTCTCATTGTTATATCTGTATTTTGGAAGAACTTGATGATAATTCTTCGTCCGGAAATCCAGCATATACATGTACTCACAGTTCACTTTCCAAGAAACTCACGATACTCTTTTACAATTTATACAATCATTTCGCACAATAAATCTAAAACTATATTATTTTTGCATAGTAGACAACTGCTTCTCCATGGAAATGTTCACAACTTGTGATAGGTCATCAGCAAAATTAATTCGTTAAAAACCATTCTAATTAAGTAATTATACAAACAAATTCTCTGAAGGTAATAATATTATAAGGATGCTGGAGTTTCTTATTGACAACATTTACTAGTATGTTGTCTTTGGAGACCAAGTATTCCAACAAACTGTTGGAATTCCAATTCCAAGAATAAACTAAGGTCATCATTTAATGATATATACCGGTAATTAATATTTAAACACTTCTACGTGGAGTACCTCAAGGCATAACTCAAATTATGCATGACTTTGAGCCTCCATTGGGTCACTCCCAAATGCATGGTCAAAGTTTTGCGCTAGTAAAATAAGGAAAAATCTTTGGAAATCTCAAAAGCAAAATGACTCTCGGTGGATATAATATTTCATTTTTTTAATACAGTAGATTATAAATATCACTAAATAATAAATTAAACCTGTCTCTTCAATGGCGGCCGGATTCTTCTAACTTTCGGAAGTTTGGCCTCCACCCCAAGACTGCTGAGCAGACTCGGGAAATTAGAGTCCCAGTACTGAGAACCGGGCTGCTGACTCTGATGTGAAATAGTGCCGCTAGGTGTCACTGTTTGCTGTCCACTGCTGTCGTCATAAAATTCAAAATTGTCTGAGTATTCAGTTCCTAGTGACTGTAAGAAAAAGAAGAACTTCACAGAGGGAAATCGGAATGTTCTAAAAAAAAAAGCATTGCTTATCTGCATAGCGTGGTTTTATGTACACTTTGACTTTCTCAATAATTATTTTCATAGGTCTAGCGTGAATAAAAGCTTTAATGTTGAATTAAATAGATATTTTTTATTTCTCCTTATAAGTCTCCACTTAAACTTCATACATTACAAAGAGTTATTCCATTTAAAACAAATTAAAAAAACTCGGGTTTACATATAACCAATTGGAATGTGAATGATTTAATGTGTACTAAAATTTGCTCAATAAATGCATAAAATAAATAATTAATAAATAATAGCTAAATAATAACTAACTAAATCAATACAACTAGACAAAAAAATTATTTTTCTGCTTACCATGACCGATGATATTTATTTCAGTGACATTAGTGCCCACATACCATTATATTTGATTAGTACTGCGTCATTACGCTAGCTTTCATATTCACAATGAACTGAATGCCGCCAAAGTTAGATTACCCAAAATAAACACCACAGTGACTGCATAGATAAGTAAGTTTGCTTACCGTCAAAAAGTTTCATACTATGAGCACTTATCTAACTTTACAGTGATATTGATTTGAAAATGTACTTTCTAATTCTATTTTTTGTTTGTTTGCTGAGAGAGAGAGAGAGAGAGAGAGGGGGGGGTTTGATATCAGAATGAAGGTGATTTAAAACTTAAACAAAATACAAATACATGTATATACTAAATTATGGTTTCAAAATTAAATTGCCTGTGTATTTTCGGAAAAGTTAATTCTACAGTTGACGATTAGGACAAAATTACCCCCCCCCCCCAAAAAAAAACTATACAAAGTTTACCTTTTCCTTCAGTGTTTTGAAGGTAAGTTTTATAAATTCAGCTGCATATGAGTTCCTGGCCTCTTTTAACTTAAAGTCTATTTCTAGAGATTAATTATAACCAGTTAAATTTTATTTTCAAGCTTTTGATCATACCTATATGTTTAAGTTAGTCATTACAATAAAAGGATTTTTGTTTTCCAGTATGTTTGTTATCACTCTCAATAGCCAATGAACTCCAAAAATTAAACTTTATTTTTCTATTTAAAAAAATAAAAGTTTCCCTTAATGAAGTGACACTCTATTTTTTTTTTAATATTTCTGTGTCTTTTTCTTTTAAGAAAGTCAAAAATTAATACCACTGAAAAAGAAATTGAAAAAAATATATATGTAATTTTTTATTCGACTCTACAGACTCTCTAAAGAAAAAAATGAAATGAAACTTAATATATTTTAATGAAAAAGGCTTTACAGAATTTAGTGGATGGTCAAAAGCCATTGGAATGACTTAATTTCACTTGGGGTGGTGTAAGGGGGAGGGGGTCTCAATGTAGAATGGTAAATCAAAAGGGGACATCGGGTTGAATGTACTTTAAGCTTAAGTTCCTGTAGTTTACTGTATTTTCAACTGGAAGTGAAAAATTCAACTTTTTAGAGATCGGTAGAATTGATCAGCATCTAGACTAATTAAACAAAACATATTCTCAAGTGGAAATGATTAGTAGCAATTGCTTCTTTTCAGATTTTTCGAATAAGCTCGGAAAACTTCTCTGAAGTTACCAATGATTTCCGAGCTTGTTTGAAAGATCCTGGAAGGTACCTTAATAAGCTAGTGTTTTTTATCATAATTTTAGAAACTGGTTACTACAGTCTTGAAAATAAAGGACCTGAGTTACTGTTACTTTTTGTATTATGGAGGTTAGGCAACAAAACACGAAACTTAAGAATATACATGTGTACATTCATAAAACAAATACAAAGGTACAGTATATTTCTCGTAGTGTTCCCAGAATACCATACAATACAGCTATGAAATCAACATCCGCATTCCAGTAAGAGACACGTACTTTGCTAGTACTCGAGAGCACCAGAAGTCATGACAAAAAATTCAATAAACAATAGATTAGAAAATATGTTCACGACAAAATTTTAACATTTCTAACTAAAATGGAATTTCAAACGGAAGACGGACGCATTTTGATAATGACTCTTGACATGTCCAGATAATACAAAAATGTGTAGTTACATGTATTCATGCAAGAGACATAGATTACCTGCTCGTCTGTGCACCTGATAAATTTTTTTGTTTATCTTTATACCGGTATATTGCGTTATGTAAAATGATATGGAAAGAAAAGGTAGGTCTTCTATTATAATTGATTTTTATTTATGAAAATGAATTTTGTCCACGGAGAAGCATTTTTTTCTTCCAGGAAAAAGGAAATTGACACGATTTTGTAAACAAGAGGCGTTGTTCATTCTTCGCAGCCATTTAGTCAACGCTTCGAATTTTGAGAAAATTCTTGTGGACGTTAAAGCCAATCTGGAACTGTTTGATCCGGAAGTGAGAGAATTATACGAGATAGAGAGTAACGTCACTCTGCTAAACCGGATTCAATGGAAACTGGATAAGATGAAGGAAAATGTAGAACAGGAAAAAGACGCGGATATCAGGTAACCAAGTCATATAAGCTGAAAGTTATTTTGGGATATCTGGAGATGGGGATAGTAATTAAAATAAATACGGTAGCAATGGAAAACGCACCAGCTAAAATTAGGGGTTATGTATACCTCATCCGACATAGAGCGTGAGCGAATACAGCATGCAAGGGATGTCTGTCAGTGAGCAGCAAGATTATGAAAGGTGGATGAAAATCAAGTGTCCCTAAACCCCACCAAAAGGGATAAGGGAGTCCCTGTGGTTTGGTACTACGTACGTGCACTTCAAACCCAACCATTTCCTACTCAAACAAACTTAAATAATCTGTTCTCTCCGGAATAAAGTACATTAGAAATGTGATTTTTTTTATCTCATCTCAAATATATTACATATGCGACAACAAAAATATGCTAGTGATCTTCTTCGTGATCTTCTTAATGCACTAGTATTGAACACTTCATTTTTCCCTTTAAATGCAGAAGGTACGTGGAGGAAGCTATTGATCTCGACATGAGGCGAAACTTCCTTCGAAAAGGATCTTCTAAAGAACCGGAGACCGATCCTGGCACTTCCGGTTTCTGTCAGCCCGAGGTCAGGTTGTCAGACAATTCAGAAGATGACGAAGAAAAGGAAGATGAAAACAACAGTGGTGAATCTGGTTTCTTTTGGTCAAGGACAAATGCAGAGGGAAGCCATACGAGCCAGAAGAGAAAGAAAAATTCGAAAAAGACAGTGAAAAAATCAAGCAAAGATATGATGCGCAAGTGTGAGAAAGACCATAATAAATTCTGGAATTATCTATACAAGACCGGAAAACGGATTATTGGTGCAGATACTTCGAGCTCTTCTAGCAGTGACTGCAATTAAATTGAGCCAGTTCTAATCAAAATTTCTTTCCATCATAAGTCTAATACCAGTTAATTTCTTCAACATAGATTATACCACTCTCCTATGAAAATGTTCAATTACTTTATCAGACGTGAAAAATATGAGCGGAGTAACTGCGAGTAATCAAGAACTGAATTTCCATCTAAAGTATCAATTAAAAACTAAAAATTTATACAATACAACAAAATTTAGAGATTACGAAGAATATTCAACCTTAAAAGTCTTTAGAAACAATACAAATTGACAGGAGAGCAAACACAGATCTCTTATAAATCAGAGTTGGGAATAGGTGCTTTGGGGGAGTATAAACTTCTCTAGTAACATTCGTCATGTGCTCCTTGTCATGAGAGAACAAACATGAAATCTGTGGACAATGCAGTGTGTTCATAATGACATAACAATGTTTGAAAATTGTCAGTCAGCATTCAACTTTATGTAAGTTTATTATGATTACATATACTTTATAAAGAGACTGTTGATATCCCTGTTTCATCAACTTGTTTGTCAATAACTTGCCTTGGTCTAGAAATTGTTTGTACGTTGAGTATGTTCATAATCAACTAGGAAACATAAACCCAATTTGCAGATAATAACTAAAGGATATATTGCTACTTGTTCATTGTATTCGGCATTATAAATGAATTTGGATAAGGTTGCAATTTTTTTTTTTTTTTGCAGAATTATAAGATAGCGGAACATTAACTGGCAAAATTGGAAACATACAGCTTATGTCATTTCTATCTGTTACAATCAAAACCTTCATGGTAGACAATGAAATGGGCGGGTACAATTCGACGCGGACGTGGGGAAAACATCGGATTGAAATTTGCAGATCGAAATTCATTTTCAATCCTCTTCAGCTACGCTAGAAGGCACATTATTACTGATTGACCCAGAAGACAAATAATTTCAATTTTGGTACAGTTTGAATTTTTTGTGTCCAGTGTTTTAAATAAATTAACATTTACGGGACAAATATTTCATTTCTGTTTGGTAACTATAATACGTATATCTTTGTGTTGGGGGGCTGAACGATTTTTAAATAAAGTTGTCCAACAGTTTTCAGTGAGAATAAGTATAAAACTCATGCACTCTTATAATCCTAGAAATAAAATATATTGTCATGTTAAGCCATGACCTGACTCAACAATTTTACACCCCCCTCCTCTAGAATCAAATATCTCCTGAAAAATAATCTATATCTTCTATGATCTTTCGCGTTCTTAAAATTATAATCGAAAACTCATATTAATGTGAACTTCAAACAGTATGTATTTGGGAGTTGAAATTAGTTGATTTTTGGATCATACATTCCCTCTTTGCTTTGAAAACAGCTCAGGTGAATTGAAAATGAATTTCGATCTGCAGTTTCAATCCGATGTTTACCCCACGTCCACGTCGAATATCCCCGCCCATCTCATTGTCTATCACTGAAGGTTTTGATTGTAGCAGATAGAAATGACGTAAGCTGTATATTTCCAATTTTGCCAGTTAATGTTCCGCGGTCTTTTAAAGTTTACCTCAATAAATAAAATGCTGAATTTGCTTTGGAGCGTTTATAAGTACAATAAATGATTAATGGTAAGAAGAAGATAGATCTGATTTTCTTTACACAGTGACACTGTATAACTCTTATTTTACGTTTTTATCATACAAATATTATTTAGGGATTCACATAAAGCAAAACATTGGCATTGCCATTCTTTCTATTATTCCCCATTTTCAAAAGGTGAGTTTTTTCCCCTGAAGGGAACTCTTTTACTGTGTTTAATACGCATGCGCTATAAATAAAGTCACTTCCGCGGACGTTCTTGATGTAAACATGTTTATGGTGTAATGCATCTGTCATATGGAAAAATGTTATTGTGCTTGTGAATAAAAAGAAATCTTAACTGATTCGTATTTTTTTTAAATTGCCCACTCATAGTCTCTTTCTGGATTTGTATTAATCTGTGTAGTACTATAATAAGGTGCTGTGTGCCCCCCCCCCTTACAAAATAAAAGAAAGAAACAAATTACTGATAAAATGCTGATACGTATTCGAATAGGCCTATTAAAAAAAAAGCTAATAAGCTAATTTTCGGTAGTGGATATTCTGCAGACGGCTCATCATTATTTACAAAATGTGCGGAACAAATTTTTAGTTATAAAGTTTTTTTTTCTATTATACGTCTCTGTTTTTAAGAATTAATCTAGCCTGCTGCTGCCATATTTTCTTTGTATCTCTAGGAATTTTTTGGAGACTGATGATTACCTCTGAAATTGCTGCATATACAGCAGTACTTCGTCTTCCGCGACCGATACCAAGAAACTGCGTTTTTGCTCGATTGTATGTCATAACATAGAACTTTTACTTTTACAAGAACACATTTGGTGACAATTAAAGGCCTATTTCATTTGAATTAACAGTGTTTCTAGAATTTTTTATTTGTAAAATAATTGATTCACCATATGTAGTATTAAAACTTTGAATAGAATTCTAAATGAATAATTTAATCTCATGTCCTCATGTAACGAAGAAAGACTAATTAAAATAGCATTGACCTGAATTCGTGTTACATATGTCGTATAAAGTCTGAGCTGCATTTAATCAAAGTTTTAGTGTAGGATCTAAGCATATGTACATGTATATTCCCGAATAAAATACACATTTTGTTTTAGATCAGAGAATTGAGAGCAGAACTACGAAATTGATACAATAATTTCCTAGCGTATTTCTCGTTAATTAACGGAAAACATTCTTTTCTCAACTGTTATTTATTTGTTAAAAATCCTTTCAGTGTAAGTACATGTATTTATTTTTATAAGTTATTCTTTTTTGCAAAGTGTGTAAAAAACAATATGTGAGAGAGAGAGAGAGAGAGAGAGAGAGAGAGAGAGAGAGAGAGAGAGACTCATGTAGCCCCGTGTAACTGACATACATGTACATCTGTGAAAAAATATATGTACCGTAATTTTATTGAAATCACAATTATAGTAATTCTAATAATTTTCAATTTTCACAACTATGGTTCATATTCAACTGTTCAACCCATTTACATATTCGTTCTATGTACCTGTACGCACGGGGGGGGGGGGGGTCAAGGACCTTAGCCCCACCCCCACTTTTTTCCCAATATTACTTGTTTCTATTGAAAATGTTCATTGATAGACAGGTTGCCAACCCCCCCCCCCCACACACACACACACAGTTAATACTACGGTAAAGTTATATAAGAGAAATGTAGTATTGTATGCCAAGGAACTGGTACTGAAATAAGTAGCTTTTTCAACTTTGGGCAAGGTTTTTCTTTGCTTGTCAACTTTTCAAGGTAAGAAAAAAATATTTCTTTGGCTACCCCCCCCCCCCACTTTTAAAGATGATGCTTCGTGTCTGGCTAATTCGTATAGCTTTCTAGAAAGGGGGGGGCTAACAGACCTTTTATAAAATAATTCATTATCTAAAAAAATGCAAACCGTTTCCTTCTTTTAAAATTTTTAAATACAGTGTGTAAGTTGATCACTATTTTGTTGGATTATCGTAATGTGTAGTCCGCGGAAGTTAGGCTAGTGTAGAAGAGTTCCGATTTTGAGGGGAGATAACTCACTTTTGAAAATGGGGAATAATGGGTATCCATATCTTATCTGCAACTTTTCCTTTGAGACTTTCACGTAATCTTTCTTTCTTAGTGTCACTTAGCACCTTTTATTTTACGTATGGATCATCATATACCCTATACACAGGTACATTTACTTGTACTATGTACAGGGTATAGAATTAAAAGGAAAAGTGTTAATTTTTCAAACTTCTGAGCAAATTATATAAATGGTACAATACACTTGTAATCATAATTTAGCACAAAATATGAAGTTAACGAAAAGTATTCAAGCAAAAAGACCATTTTCACAATACAAGCAAGCCAGGCAAATACAGACCTCTAAAAATCATCAGAGGCAGGACCAGGTGTCATGAAGGAGTAACATCCCATCGACCAGTCCCACATACCATGTGCCCTTTGCTTATTTGGGTAAAGGGAAAAATCTGTAGAATTTCAGTGTATTTATAATGGCATAAAATGCAGTAAGTATGAAAAATGTCAGTCAGCATTTGACCTACTGATAGATTGTATTTGCTGACAAGGTCAATGTATCAACAATAGTACTTGCAAAATGATGACCAAGCAAGACGTTTTATATTCTTGTTTTGTCAACTTGTTGGTCAATAGCTTGCCTCGTTTTAAAAAGTAGTGATAACAAATATCACAGAGAGAGAGAGAGAGAGAGAGAGAGAGAGAGATCATCAGAAAGCTTGGCTTGAATGCTCTTGAGATGACCCTCTATCTCACACTTACGAGGGGTTATCAAAAAGTTCGTGGACTGAGGCTATAAAATTAGTACTATGTAGTCTGTGCTTTCAAAATTTATATGTAACATAAAAAAAAACAAAAAATAAAGAAATGTTGAAAAATTTAGCCTGATACGTTCATTATTTGCCAAAAATTATAAAATGAAAACGATATTATATGATCACCCGGCGCTGTCGTCGTTTATTTTCATGACGTCCGATAACGTCATTGTTTTTTCAATGTCCGCTTCTTCTACCTCATACACGTTTTTGATGAGATTCCCTGGAGCTGAGTAAGGACTTAAACCCGTCTTGTTTATTTGATTTACAATGCCATGAACAGTGGTCTTCAATGAATATAATACTGTATTCCAAATTGATTAATACATTGGGAGAGATCCGCGCTTGATTGTGCCGGGATATTTTGCTTTTGGGAGTTCAATATCTACAACAGATGATCAACGTCAGTTTTTGACGTGATTGATTTTTCACACCTTGATTGCAAATTGACTTTAACTGTGTATCCCTTTTCTCTCTGAATCTATTTTGACATTAAAAGACAAGTACTCTGGATGCATACTATTTCGCTGTAGCCAATATCAACATATTTTAGGTCTATACCAGTTTTTTTCAGGGGCAAATCTTTATAGAATGTTGGAAACGGAAACCCCTGCCCCCTTTTGACGTCATTTTCAAGGCCTCATTTGTTTGGACATTCCGTGTAAAATTTACAATAAAATTTCATAGAACTTCCAGAATGAAGTGAAAATTTCATATTTTATGGAACAATTGTTTTCCGGCACATACCTGAATTAACGGGAATTTTGGATGTCAAATGATCATATCAAAAGAGCTTTTTAGCTCACCTGAGCCGAAGGCTCAAGTGAGCTTTTCTGATCACATTTTGTCCGTCGTCCGTCCGTCTGTCCGTCCGTCTGTCTGTCCGTCTGTAAACTTTTCACATTTTCGACTTCTTCTCAAGAACCACTGGGCCAATTTTGACCAAACTTAGTACAAATCATCCTTGGGTGAAGGGGAATTTAAATTGTTAAAATGAAGGGACATATCCCCTCGCAAGGGGAGATAATCAAGAAAAGACAAAAATAGGGTGGGGTCATTAAAAAATCTTCTTCTCAAGAACCACTGGGCCAGAAAAGCTGAAACTTATGTGGAAGCATAATTGGATAGTGTAGATTCTAAATTGTTCAAATCATGACCCTTGGGGGTAGGGCGGGGCCACAATGGGGAATCAAAGTTTTATATAGAAATATATAGGAAAAATCTTTGAAAATCTTCTTCTCAAGAACCACTGGGCCAGAAAAGCTGAAACTTATATGGAAGCATCCTGGTATAGTGTAAATTCTAAATTGTTCAAATCATGACCCCCCGGTGAAGGGCGGGGCCACAATGGGGAATCAAAGTTTTACATAGAAATATATAGGAAAAATCTTTGAAAATCTTCTTCTCAAGAACCACTGGGCCAGAAAAGCTAAAACTTGTGTGAAAGCATCCTTGGGAAGTGTAGATTCTAAATTGTTCAAACCATGACCCCCCGGGATTGGGCGGGGCCAAAATGGGGAATCAAAGTTTTACATAGAAATTATATAGGGAAAATCTTTGAAAATCTTCTTCTTAATAACCACTGGGCCAGAAAAGCTGAAACTTATATGGAAGCATCCTGGTATAGTGTAAATTCTAAATTGTTCAAATCATGACCCCCCGGGGAAGGGCGGGGCCACAATGGGGAATCAAAGTTTTACATAGAAATATGTAGGAAAAATCTTTGAAAATCTTCTTCCCAAGAACCACTGGGCCAGAAAAGCTGAAACTTATGTGGAAGCATCCTGGTATAATGTAGATTCTAAATGATTCAAATAATGACCCCCGGGGGAAGGGTGGGGCCACAATGGGGAATCAAAGTTTTACATAGAAATATATAGGAAAAATCTTTGAAAATCTTCTTCTCAAGAACCACTGGGCCAGAAAAGCTGAAACTTATATGGAAGCATCCTGGTATAGTGTAGAATCTAAATTGTTCAAATCATGACCCCCAGGGGAAGGGCGGGCCCACAATGGGGTATCAAAGTTTTATATAGAAACATATAGGAAAAATCTTTGAAAATTTTCTTCTCAAGAACCACTGGGCCAGAAAAAGTGAAGCTTATGTGGAAGCATTCTGGGGTAGTATAAATTCTAAATTGTAGGAATCATGACCCCCGGGGGAAGGGCGGGGCCATTATAGGGAATCAAAGTTTTACATAGAAATATATAGGAAAAATCTTTGAAAATCTTCTTCTCAGGAACCACTGGGCCAAAAAAGCTGAAACATATGTGCCCATGGAAGGATCATGGGGTAGTGTAGATTTCAAAATGTCTAAATTATGATCAGTGGGGTAGGGTGGGGATGCATTATGTATAACAAGGGTGAAATCTGGTAAAGAACAGAATGGTCAAAGCTTCTCAGGTGAGCGATGTGGCCCATGGGCCTCTTGTTATCTCTTCTGAGCCAAAGGCTCAAAGAGCTAATGCTATGGCCATTTGTGCGGTGTGCGTTAACTTTTTAGAATATGGGCCATAACTCAAGAACCCCTTGGCCAATCATTATCAAATTTGTTACAGGGTGTCCTTGGCCCAAGGGCTACCATTTATACTAAAACTAGGGTTGGGACCCTAAAACAAGGGGAGACAATCAGGAAAATAGAACCAAAAGTACTGGTTGCTAAAAAATCTTCTTCTCCAGAACCACCAGGCAGATTTTCACCAAACTTACATACAAGGTTCAGGATATGTTGAAGATTAAAAATTGTTCAAGGCATGACCCTGGGGCAAAGGGTGTGGTCTCAAGGTCACTTCAAAATTAACCAAAATTTACACTTTATAAAAATGTTGATATTTTGCTTACTATAAAGACTAGGATCATCAAATCTTGTTAGTTGATGCATCTAAGGACTTCACATCATGTTAACACAAAAGTAGGTCACGGTGACCTACTTTTTAAATTTTACGGGCTTTTGTTTTCAAATTGATTTGGATGCATATTTTGGACACTTTAAGGCCTATGATCATCAAACTTTGTCAGTTGATGCATCTTGGGTCCTTAAACAAGGTCAACTTAAAAATAGGTCACCTTGACCTACTTTTTGAATTTTATGGCTCATCTTTTCTACAACATTTCATCCCATTATTTCAGATACTGAGAGGTTTAGATACACCAAACCTTGTAAGTTTATGCATCTTGGGGCCTTAAAACATATTTATGAAAAAGTAGGTCACTGTGACCTACTTTTTGAATTTTGCAGGCATTTGTTTTCAGATTGTTTAAAAGGCATATTTTGAATACTTTCAGACCTATCATCATCAAACTTTGTCAGTTGATGCATCTTGGGTCTTCGGAAAATGTCGACCAAAGAGTAGGTCACGGTGACCTACTTTTGACATTTTATGGCTATATTTCAGTATCTTAGGTACTTTTTGGCTTATAATCATCAAACTTTGTCAGTTGATACAACTTGGGTTTTCGGAGAATGTCGACCATAAAGTAGGTCACGGTGACCTACTTTTGACATTTTATGGCTATATTTCAATGTCTTAGGTACTTTTTGGCTTAGAATCATCAAACTTTGTCAGTTGATGCAACTTAGGTTTTCGGAGAATGTCGACCAAAAATCATCAAACATTGTCAGTTGATGCATCTTGGGTCCTCGGAAAATGTTGACCAAAAAGTAGGTCATGGTGACCTACTTTTGACATTTTATAGCTATATTTAAGTATTTTTAGGTATTTTTTGGCTTAGAACTATCAAAACTTTGTCATTTGATGCAACTTGGTTTTTCGAAGAATGTCGACCAAAAAGTAGGTCAGTGTGACCTAGTTTTGACATTTTATCGCTATATCTTAGGTACTTTTTGGCTAAGAATTATCAAACATTGTCAGTTGAGGCATCTTGGGTTTTCAGAGAATGTCGACCAAAAAGTAGGTCACAATGACCTACTTTTAATTAGATACTTATTGGCTTAGAATCATCAAACATTGTCAGTTGATGCATTTGGGTCCTCGGAAAATGTTGACCAAAAAAGAAGTCACGGTGACTTATTTTTGACATTTTATGGCTTTATTTAAATATCTCTGGTACTAATTGGCTTAGAATCATCAAACTCCGATAGTTGATGCATCTTTGGTCCTCGGGGAATGTCAACCATGAGAAGGTCACAGTGACCTACTTTAATATGTGAGGTACTTATTCAATAGAACCATCAATCTTTGTCAATTAATGCATCTTGAGTCCTCAGAAAGTTTCAAATCAAAAAGTAGGTCACCATGTGCTACTTATGGTATTTTATAGCTATACTGAAATATTTTTAGTCCTAACAGGCAAAGAATCATCAAACTTTGTCAGTTCATGCATCTTAGGATACTTAGAGTAAGAGACTTCAAATAGAAGTGATAGATTGTACAATTTATCAGAAGAGCGATTCAAGGCCCTTGGGCCTCTTGTTTTAGTTACACATAGGTCGCAAAAACGTCGTGTACGAGGTTGCACCGCCTGGACATACCTTTGCTTATAAAAACATTACTAATTTATTAAAAAATAAAATTTATGATTTATGGTTTATTCTTTAGATAGAAAAGATGATGCTAACTGGATATTTTAAAATTCATTGATGTGCCTAAAGCGGTTTTAATTTTATGACGCTAGTCCACGAACTTTTTGATAACCCCTCGTACACACATTATTTATTGGGTATGATTACTTTAACTTTCAATCCATGAATATCAGGTATGTTTCCAAAAATAATGAAGCTAGATTGCCAATAAGTGAAAAGTTTATTGTGTTTTTTCTTCCATTAAAACCATCTAATTAATGTTATTTATTCTTTATTATATTTCCCACTATGACTGCGAGTACTGTGTTAAAGGCAGAGAACTCATGTCATAAACTGCATATAAAAAGGGTCTTTCATGAAGACAAGAGTAGCAGCCCTTTGGTAATAGATCTCGAACTTGACTCAAGAGGTCCTGCATGTCATCATAGTCTTGCTGTCGTGGCAACTGTCTGGCCATCCTCACTGCTTCTGACTGCAGAAAAAAGTAAACTGAGTTTTAATAACTAACAACTAAAGAGGCATTTTCCTTAAATTTGGAATGTTCTCATTTGCTTGAAAATTCATTTTAATGATAAATTATGGAATACTCATATTTTATAAAAGTTACCTTTATTCTCAAGTGGAACCTATATTTTTTTAGGAGGTGGGATGGTGTTGATTCACTAATATCTTGTGATATTGATCTTTAACATAGCATAAAAAACCATGAATACCTTGAGATAATTGATGACCTTGAGGGGTCGTGACCTCAGGATGGAATCTGCCCCTGTGTTGTGTATCAGTTCCAGAATCTCCTTAAGGTCGTCTATCCCATACGTAGGAATACATGGAGACAAGGAAGATAACTCAGCCTGTACATCATCATTGGCATCTGCAAAATCAACAAAGATAAATATCAAATCAATGGCTTATTCTTTGTTCAGGAGTCAGGACTCACACCTTTTTCAATGATTTCACTGAAATCCATTTATAATTTTGCAGAGAAAAAAATGAGTGAAAACATATAGCTTTCTTCTCAACTAACATGTGTATGGGGAAAAAATTACCCTGTAACAACTTTAAGACAAGAGGCCCATGGGCCACATCGCTCACCTGAGCACTGTGGCGAGGAAAAATTAAAAATTGGTTTATTATTGAAAAGTTTAAATCCAAACGTAGTCCCATGACCAATCATGGCTTCGCTATTCTTGAGAAGAAATTTTTAACAATTTTCCTATATATTTCTATGCAAAAAATTTGGTTGGCCATTGTGGCCCCGCCCTACCCCCAGGGTTATGATTTGAACAAACTTGAATCTACACTACATGAGGATGCTCCCATATAAACATGATCAATTATGGCATTGCAATTTTTGAGAAGAAGATTTTTTAAAAAATTCCTATATATTTCTATGTAAAACTTTGGCTGGCCATTTTTGCCCTGCCCCGCCCCTACCCCCGGGGGTCATGATTTGAACAAATTTGAATCTACACTACCTGAGGATGCTTCCATATAAATGTGGTCAATTATGGCTTTACTATTCTTGAGAAGAAGATTTTTAAAGAATTTTCCTATATATTTTTATGTAAAACTTTGGTCGTCCACTGTGGCCCCGCCCTACCCCCTGGGGTCATGATCTGAACAAAAATGAATTTACACAACCTGAGGAAACTTCCATATAAGATTCATCTTTCCTGGCACAGTGGTTCGTGAGAAGAAGATTTTTAAAAAAATTTCCTATATCTTTCTTTGTAAAACTTTGGTCGGCCATTGTGGCCCCGCCCTACCCCAGGGGGTCATGATTTGAACAAACTTGAATCTACACTACCTGAGGATGCTTCCATATAAGTTTCAGCTTTCCTGGCACAGTGGTTCTTGAGAAGAAGACTTTTAAAGAATTTTCCTATATATTTCTATGTAAAACTTAAGGATGCTTCCATATAAGTTTCAGCTTCCCTGGCACAGTGGTTCTTGAGAAGAAGATTTTTCAAACATGTCACCAAACTTTTATTAATTCCCAATTATCTCCCCTTGAATGAGGGCGTGGCCCTTCATTTGAACAAAATTGAATCCCCTTCACCCAAGGATGCTTTCTGGCAAGTTTGGTTGAAACTGGCCCAGCGGTTCTTGAGAAGAAGTGGAAAATGTGAAAAGTTTTACAGACAGACAGACAGACGGACTACAGACAAAATGTGATCAGAAAAGCTCACTTGAGCCTTCGGCTCAGGTGAGCTAAAAATGTTCAAAGCAAATTCTTAACCCAGCTTTTAATATTAATGTTTGACCAGACTCACATAAATCATAATTTATAGATAATTTTGCTCATACCAAAGAAGAGTTTGATGTTGATTCCATTACTTGTGAACCTGTTATCCCTGAGGACTGGGTACATCTCTGATGTTCTGTACTGAACAGCTAGCTCCCTAAAGGTTTCCCAGAGACTGCCTAACAATCTGGAAGTTAAAAAAAATATAATAAAGATGGATTCTTATATGAACTAGCATTTATTAACATAAATGTGTTTTTGGCCATCATTGTAACCAGTTATCTCCTTTTAAAAGAACAATTAAGAAGAGTTATCCAATCTTGGAGCATTAATTGCAAACACAAATCCCATCAAGGTGAGCTTAAAATTAATTTATAATTCACAATATTCTTGAAATTCTGCATTTTTCGACTGCAGTAGCCCATTAACAACTCGATCTTCACTACGTTTTACTTACTCTGGAGTGATTTTGATTGGTCGTTCCAGTGGTTCTGTGGGTAAAACATGGTCCCTCATTAGTCGGTGGTATAAAACTGTCTCATGCACACGATGTGGATTTAAGATGTGGATTTTGTAGTCATGGTAACATGTCCAAATACCACATGACTTCAGAGGACCAATCAGTTCCCAGCATTGTGTGTCTGCCATTTGACTGAATAAAAAAATGATGAAAGTAAACATCCTGCATGTTGTATTGTGTATGACACTATTGTGCAGTGTCAACAAAAATTATCTTCCTCTCTGATTTATGAACTTATATTTGCCAAATAGACCTTCAGATTTTTTTTAAATGATCATGCATTACAGATTATAAAATATAACTATCAATTATAAAAGAGATAAATCACAACTCCTTTGGTGAATTTAAATTTCAAAGATATATGCAGAAAGAAACAGTTTTCCTAAAATTCAAATTAAATTTTGACACATGCGTAAGACCAAAATTTAGTCACAGGCCACATTTCGGTGCCTAGATTTAGGTTTCTATGCTATTTATGGTTGGAAATTAACAGAAAATTATGTTAATCACTAAAGTACATACAGTCACTATGATTATAGACGAATTTCACATTCCTGAGAGTTATCTCCCGTTGTCGGCGTAACGCTCATTTTACCCTCTTTGTCCTTTGTAACTTACCAGTTAATATTTTTAAAATTCAAACGTTATATGACAATTTTGATTTGTACCTGTATTGCCAGAGTATGGGGCAACATGAAAAACATAATGATCATATTCATAAAGATTTTATTTCTAGGATTCTGACCCATAAAGTTGGTAAGGTTATTGAAGGAAAACAGCGTCTTACGCTGGTTGACCCCGGATTGACCCCGCGAAGGGGAATAACTTTTGTAAATGTGAAAGTCGTCTATTATGTCAAATTGAACTGCTCTGCATACAATAAGTGATTTACAAATGACGTCATAATACTGTAGGTTTACTGAATAGCCTTATTTAGAAATAAAATTTTTATTCACATTAGTTTACTTCGCTTCAGTTGTTAAAAGTGAACACAATTTAATTCGCATTATTTCAATTAGCATTAGTTTACTTTGCATAAATTTACTGCGAATAAAACTCTCCGTGTGAATAGGGCGTTAGATTATCTGTTTTGCTAAAGATTTACAAAATCTTGTTTGCAATAACCTGGCTGTAAGACATGATGAGAACGTCTCTTTAAGCTTCTGGAGGCTGAAAGGTAATGCCTTCTCCTTCCTTGGAATCAGACTTTCTGGGGAGGTACCATGTTTACGAGCTGTCTTCAATAACTGCTCTTTTATTGTCGGAGTTCTCTGAAGCTTGCTGTTCTGAACTTTGTGCTTCAAGCTCTGGTTTAACAATGGCTTTGTTCCACTAAAATTATAATGTGATATCTTACATGTAACTAAATTATGAATCAATGATTTAAGCATATTGTTTTGATTGCACATAATATGCACATGTATTAAATTATTCCAAACATATTGTAAGATTTTGCAAAATTAGTTATTCTGTTAAAAATTCCTATTGTAAACATAACTAAATCCCTTTAAAAAAAATTAAAACCATTGTCAATATATTACTGTCAATAAGCAAGTTTTATTCAGAATTGAATTTTGGTCTTAGTCATGCGTTCTTGTAAAAAATGGCCCAGATCAGTAAGATTTAGAATAGAGAATTTTCCATCTTGTAAACAGCTCACCCTTTCTCTGCGGCTTGTGCGCCAGCTCTGAGCTCATAGGTTGTTCTCTCAGAAACAGTAAGATTGTCCCAGGCTTCTCTGATCAATTCTGTTATTCTGTTTCCAGAGCAGTTTGGGTTAGCTGTGATAACTAGAGAAAAATTGAATTAGCATATAATACTGTTCATATTTAAAACTTGTAATGTGCTAAATTTCTCTATTTAAGGATAGAAAGCATTTAAAAACAACAACACTGCATACATGTATATCATATGTGTCAGATCTTCTAAATAGATACAATGTCATGAGTGAATTTTATATGAAGCACTCAAGATGAACAACAAGATAAGCAATTATAAAATAGGTATAAATTAATATACATGTATAAAATAAATATTATATACCTTTTGGAGTCATCTTTTTCGCAAAAAGTTTAAAGGCATTTCCTTTCTGGGGAGTTGAAAATGAATTCTTGTCATCAAAAATAATCTGAAAAAGAAGAAATCGAAATGACACTTAACTAATATATCTGTCTGTTAAAAGAAATCTTAGTTATTTAATGAAAGTTTCAAGTTTTTCATTTAAACAGTCATTTTGTTTCACTGTATGGATACTGCATGTGCCCAATAAAATATACATGTACCCGGTATATATATAGAGACTTGTTTCATTATCAGGTTTTATTAATGTAATTCAATGTCACAATCTTGTCACAGTTCATTTCCTTGTTTATAGTCACAATATCATTATTTTTTTTAATATAAACAGTAAAGTTAATTAAGAAACTACACATATACCCTTAATGAATGTAAATAGAATTACATTTATCTTTCATATACCTCTAAAGATCTCCTCTTCTTTGGGGGCGAATTTCCACTCTCAGGGGAAAGGGGGCGTTTCCCACAATTTAGAATCTTCACAGGCTAAAAAAAAGAAAAAAAAAATTCTTTAAGGACAATTTTATATATTAAGGATGGGTTTTGTCAAAATTTCATATCGAGATATATCATAATTTTCCCTCGCAAATATCATGATAATATCATGTTTTTGCAAGCAAGTTTACAATGAATTTCAATGAATGCATGAAAAAAGCCTGCATCGAAAACATAAAATATATCCAACTTACTATAATCACTATCAGTAAGAAATCATAAGAATATCATTCTAAAAATCATTTTAGACCTTGCAGTGAAATTTACCTCAATGACTTCTCCACTTGAGCTTTTTAACCCTTGACCTTTGCTCCATTGCTCTCCACTGGGTGCAGTAGGTTCTTTACTGTGGTTTTCCATAACACCCATATCTGGTTCACTTCCTGTCTGCTCTTTAGTTTCTGGCCAAGATGACAAAAGTTCTGATAAGGAATCATCAGTTAATTCATTGTTTTGTGAAATGACATTTGACCTCTCCTTGGTGTCATCTGGGGTCACCACATCAAATGATATCACAGGCACATCTAAGCCATCTGTCACAACTGAAGTCTGTTCATTGAATCTATCACCTGAGGTTTCCATTGTGTCAACTTCTCCAAAAGAATGGGATTCTGGAGCTGGTCCCTCAGTTTGTAGTTCCTGAGCGCTTGACAGGTTTGGACTTTCAGATCTTTTGGCTTGACCTGGTTCATTTTCATTAGTCACATTAGCAACTTTATCAAGCTGACTTTCATCATTTTTTCCTCCTCCTGGTAGAGTAACTCTAATCACAGGAAGGGACTCATCAAGTACACTAATGTCTTCCATGGATATGACCTTGACCTGGGGATTTGTGGTTACCATGGGAGTACTTCTGGCCTTGTTTTCAAGGTCTTGTTTCTTAGAAATTGTGACAGAAGGTTCATCAAGTTGTCCATTTTCTACAAAAAACCTTTTATTTTCTTTATTGCACTGCTTTGCTGGATCGTATGTGTTTTTCAGATATTCCTCCAAGAGTTCCAAAACAGCTTCCTAGAATTGGGGAAAAAACCCTCAAAAATCACCCTTTTATCTCAAACAGGTATGTTGACAAGAGGTTTATGGCTAACCTTCCAATCAACAAAGTGACTGTATAAGTGTATATCACCAAATTTTGTCAAAATGTGAAAGTTAATACTATTATGAGTGTTATAAAAACAATTTAATGCAGCTAACTGCTTTGATATATTTAGGTAATAATCTCATTATTTGATGAATTGAATTTGGTTAAATATATATACATGACAAAATATCTGTCCTACACAACTTCAGGTAAATAATGATTTTTTTTAACAACAAAAATGCCCCTCCCTCCTGCACACTCAGTTTTAAGGATTACCAGCAATGTCCTACCTGTTTGTGTAGGAAGACCCTAGTTTTGTTAGGTTCTACATTGACATCTAGATCAGAGGGTGGAATCACTACAGAAATGATAAACACTGGGTATCTACCCTTCTCCAAGCCAAGGTAACTTCTGATCATCTTACAGAAAAAAAGAAAAACTCTAAATTAAACAAGAATTTTCCTAGAAGAAAACATTAATCATTCCTCATTTCAGTGTTGTGTTATCACCTTTTCAATCTCTTTATGGTGGACTGGTCTCTGGTTTATAAACACGAAGCTTCTGTCGTTAACACTGCGTGACACTGACGCCCACTCACATCCCACAGAGGGTAAATACAGCTCCATTTCCACCTATGAAGTTTTCAAATAAATTAATATGTTATTACTGTAACAGTATTTTATCTAGGGATGGGTATCGCCACACATTTCGTATCGCGATATATCACGATTTTCCCCACAATATCACGATTATATCATGATATTTTTAAAAGCAGTTTTTACAATGATTTCATATGAAAAGTCATTATTTTTCTAAACCAGAAGTCTCTGTCGAGACTGTAGCTCTACTGGTTTATACTTAAAACAAAGGAAGAGAAAAGTAGCAGTTGGGACTTGAGACTTTAAATCAGCAATAAATAGAAAAATGATCCTTGCCACTCATCAAAATAAAAACCAATGCACAGAATTATGTATCTTAGTATAGTCTACTTGTGTGCCAAGTTATATTGAAATCAGACCAAAACTGCAGGAGGAGTAGCAATTTGAAAGAATTTCACAAAAATTTCTATTTTTAGTAACCATGGCAACACCGTTTATTGAAATAAAAACCGATGCACAGAATTATGTATCTTAGTGTAGTCTACTTGTGTGCCAAGTTATACTGAAATCAGACCAAACTGTAGGAGGAGTAGCATTTTGAAAGAATTTCACAAAAATTTCTATTTTTAGTAACCACGGCAAAACTGTTTATCGAAATCAAAAACCGATGCACAGAATTATGTATCTTAGTGTACTCTACTTGTGTGCCAAGTCATACTGAAATTGGACCAAAACTGTAGGAGGAGTAGCATTTTGAAAGAATTTCATAGAAATTTCTATTTTTAGTAACCACGGCAACACCGTTCATCGAAAATCAAAAACCCATGCACAGAATTATGTATCTTAATGTAGTCTACTTGTTTGCCAAGTTATATTGAAATCGGACCAAAACTGTAGGAGGAGTAGCATTTTAAAAGTATTTCACACAAATTTCTATTTTTAGTAACCATGGCAACACCGTTCATCGAAATCAAAAACCGATGCACAGAATTATGTATCTTAGTGTAGTCTACTTGTGTGCCAAGTTATATTGAAATCGGACCAAAACTGTAGGAGGAGTAGCATTTTGAAAGAATTTCACAGAAATTTCTATTTTTAGTAACCACGGCAACACCGTTCATTGAAATCAAAAACCGATGCACAGAATTATGTATCTTAGTGTAGTCTATTTGTATGCCAAGTTATATTGAAATCGGACCAAAACTGTAGGAGGAGTAGCATTTTGAAAAATTGTTTACAGACAGACAGACAGCTAGACGGACGGACGACGGACGCATTACTATCGCATAAGCTCTTCTGGTCTCTGACCAGTAGAGCTAAAAATATGCTAGAAAAACAAAATTTTACTTTCTTGAAATTTTTATGCATATAAAATCAATTATGTTGGACGGTAAGATGCTGTTCTTTTCACTTTTTACTACATTTTTTATACTTTCTGTAATTGTAATTTGAAAGATTGAACAAATAAATGAATAATCTCTGGACTTTATAATATGTGCCTTAAGACCGGTATTTAGGTCTCCGTATCACCATACGTATCACGCAACAAAAAATCGCGATATACCTGTATACCGATAAAATCGCACATCTCTAATTTTTTCACTGCCTCATGCGTCCTCCAGGGCACGAAGAGGATAAGTAAGTAAGTACAGTATTTTTAGAAAAGAATGAAAATAAGTAATCAATGCGTGCCATGGAGGTTTTAAATTTTGAAGCTTGTTCAGAAAATTTGTTCAAATATTTTTTATGATATAAGATAGAATTCACTCTTATTTAAGTCACATTGGTGTATAGTTTTAAGAGAATTCCATACATGTAACAGCAAGGCCTTATTTGTATTAATTCATGACTACCCACCGAAAGAAAGTAACATCCAACACCTTTACATATATACCTTTGGAAATTCCAGAACAAGCTCCTTTTTCTGAAGGTTATTCCCAACAACATTTCCAAGAGTTTCAAATATGGCGGTCTTGAGATCTGACACAGGATTTTTCTGCCAGACGACATCTTTGTTGTGTCGTATATTGATCCGCACTGAGGGGAATATAATTCCGTAAGACAGAAGAAGGTCCTCAATGCGTTTTAACTCATCTTTCTTTTTCTTGTTTGTGTTGTAAAACTGTCTCCTAACTGGTAGATTCTTAAACAAGTTAAAGGCAGTGATAGTTGTACCTGTAAAATATATCTTTGAAAATTGAATTTGATTCCATGTTTTGCTACCGCTATACGGTATATCTTAAACATTCCAGATATCAACTCATGCCCTGTTCACACGACGAGTTTAATTCGCAGTAAATTAATGCAAAGTAAACTAATGCGAATCAAAATAATGCGAATTAAATTGCGTTCACACGACAGCGAATGCGAAGTAAAGTAATGCGAATTAAATTCTACTTCTACGGCCAGGCGTCAGTAAGGCTATTATGATGTCATTTGCAAATCACGTCACCTTATGCAGGAGCAGATGCATTTGACATAATGTTACAGTGTCTGTACATACATTTTTGGGATTAACACAATTTACCTTAGTTTTTCACTCAAAAATAGCACAAATACTTCAAGCTGACCACGGACATGTGGATTTGACCTAATTTTGTTATTACGCATGCCTCAAAATTTAATTCGAATTAGCTTCGCTTAGCGTTCATACGGAGCTAATGCGAAGTAATGTAATGCGCAGTAAACTAATTCGAATTAAACTAATTTGCATTAAATTCTCCGTGTGAACGCTAAGCGAAGCTAATTCGCAGTAACTTTACGTTTAATTCGAATTAAACTCTCCGTGTGAACAGGGCATCAGTCTCAGTTGTAAATTTGCCCTCAAACAAAACAATACACACACCTTTTCCAAGATGGGTTGGTCGAGATGAAGTTATCTGCCCTTGGTAATTATAACTGTAGGTGGTGCTGATTTCCTCGTCCTTTGTCCTAGTGGTGATTGACAGGTTGGATACGGTACAGAGTGACCCCAGGGCCTCACCTCTAAAGCCGTAGGTCACTAGATCCTCCAGGTCTGAGAAGCTGCTGATTTTAGAGGTGTGGTACTTCTTGGCTACCAATGGGACATCTGCGGTTGGTATTCCTGAACCATTGTCTCTAAGTTCAATTTTATCCAAACCATAGTTTTCCTAAAGTAAATTCAAAACAAAAGACTTTTATCACAATCACATCTCAGTTGCTGTTGAGTTTTAAGATGTTGTACTATTTTATTTTCTCCTTCCTCTGCCTCAATACAATTTTTATGAGATTCCCTAGACCCTCTCAGTTTAACACATCCAAGACTCCTCTGCTTTTTATATTTTTGTGACACATGTCAAGGGGTTAGAGTCAGAGGAATCTCAGATTAAATTAACACGTTATTTGGTCATTAAGAAAATGACAAATTGAGTTTTTTGACAAACACGAGATTCATAATTAGATTAGAACTCTTTACTTTGCAGTGTATAATTCGAAATCCGATCATTAGACATTACCTGATTACAATGTCAATGACTGTCATGCTTACCAAACGCAGCTCTAAAGACGTGGCACCTGCGTCAAGTGAATTCTCTACAAGCTCTTTCACGACGCTATATACTGATGTTATCACTTGTGAGCTTCCAAGGAGACGAATCGTCTCTCTGGGAAGTTCATGCATCGATCCTCTCAAATCAGTCATATCGAAAGTAGAAAACGCGCGTTTCAAAAAACCGAAAGTAAAACAAGCCGATCCTCAAAAATATTTATTTGCTGTTTACTATTTGTAAGTCATGTTTTTGTTTGATTTTGGGGGTACAATTTTGTAGAATAAAATATTTGGACACACTTGCATAAATAAATTATTAGGCCTTGACGTCGATCAGGAATCTAAGAATATAGATCGGGTTCGACATTTTACTACTAGGCCTACCGCCTGACGATTTGGCCTGAGCTGACCCTCTGGCTCTGTGAAAGCTAACAGCCTAAACAGGTGTCCATGTGGTAAAGGTATTGTAAGTTTATATTTGTCAACAGGTTTCTCATTGTAAATACCTGTAGTAACTCTATATTTTCACTGAAGTGTTTTTTTTAACAACACAATGCTGGGAACTGGTGAAAGGAAATGTCACATCATATGGCATCGAGACACTTGCTCCTGGCGATAAAAATATATTTTAAAAACTATATACGATCTACATGTACTTTGTATAGGACGTGATTGGGATATTCTCTTCTATAGAGAAGTGAACCAGGCTTTTGCCTACATCTAGTGCGAATGGGGGGGGGGGGGTCATGAAAAAAGTTTTCCATGATAAAAAGTCAGGGATACTCAAGCTGTAAAAAGTCAGCTTAAAAGTGTCATAAACATCCTTAGATGACATAAATTGTAGACTTCTGAGTTAGATGAAATTCCTTTGAATATAATAAGATAAGATAAGATTAAGATTTATTAATTCCAATCGGGGCCCTTCAGGGCATACAAGTAATGATTTATGACGATAGGAAACAAATGCATACCTACATTAATGATTAATGTAAAATTTTTATTCAGCTCTAAAATTCATATACAGTGAAGTCGCCAATTGAATTCCGGGTCATGTCAGGGTGTTTCGTTGATATTTTGCAAATCTGTTAAATTTATATTTTAATAATATGCAATATATGTATTGAAAGAACAAATAGTGAGTCATCCAAGCACCTCTTCGTTTTTCAAAGTAGCTACAAGGGAACAATATTTACAGGGGTATTTCAGCAAGGCCTAGCTTCCCCAGTTACAAATCATTTTCTCCATTTCAGGGTCATGTGACTTCACGGTCGTGTAATATTCATGGAATGCTTCGGAACGCGATTTTTCTGATGTTGAAACATAAAACAATTGATGCAGCTTGGAAAAAAAGTAAAACAATCACAGAAATATGTTTAAATTATTTTTAAAACAATTACAACAAAACATTTAATTGTAGTATGCAGAATGTAAAAAATGTATTAGGATTAGAAATAAATACAATTAAATTCATTTATTTAAAAGATGCATTTGAAGGGTTAACTCGATTTTAATTTTTAGAAAAAATATTTTCCAGTAAGAATACTTTTGAAAATCAAGGTAAATACATGGTTGTCGAATGGTTTTGTACATATAATTTTGAGATGTTCATGCCACGAGATTGAGTGACCCGCAATTGGAGAAACTACTACAAATTGATTAATAATCATTATAATTTTATTTGAGCAGCGATCATTATGATTGATTTCTGAGTTAAAACTAAATGCATTTGTCATACTTTCGAGCTCTTATTATTTATCTAGAACTTTTATATCAGCGCCTTTCTGCAGCTAACAAAAACGAAAGTAGCCCGACACCGCAGCAGAAACATCCAAGTCTTTAATGAGTGGTTTCAGAATTTCGATTGTCGGATGCTCTCTTAAAGTTGATATTCAAAATTTTGTAATTAATTAAACAGATCTTCACGACCAAATTCGTTAAGTTTTTTGTGCTTAAATTTTAACACTAGGCATAAAATACACGCGAGTTAATATAATACATTGTCCACTGTAACAGTTATAGAACTAAGAATTAATATAACAAATATTGTACAACTTTAATGTTTATATTTGTATATGGGTCATATTGTAAAAATGTGGGTTATGTAGTGTAATAGTTGGGCTGCAGGTATTGGCCTTCATATCTCAGAATACTATAGGTAGATCACCTGACTTGTGATGCAGGGGTTTGATTCACGATCCACCCAATGGCATGCACAAATTTCTCCCTTCCTGTTGATAAAGAATTAAAATAGTTTATATAAAAAAAAATATGAATTGGTGTTGTCAGATTCATCGGTAACAGAAAGATACATGTATTCAATTTGGTATTTATAATCTATAGTACTTGGGGCAAAACTCAGAAGGATGTTATGTATTGGAAGTTATATAACTGAAGGTAAATATATATAAACACCAGGGCATCATGGACAATGTTGATCAGTACTGCTAGTATTTAATTCACAGAGAGTACACAGTTATAATTGTCCACACAGTGTTGAAATATCTAATTGACAAGAATGTGAAAACACTCTTTTAAAACTTGCATGAACTAGTACATTGTACAAGTATCTGTCAAACATAAAATATAGTTTTTTGTTGATTTTGAAGAGTATTTACATTGTAAGGTCTTTATGACTGGAAATACATACATGTACATTCACTTATTTCTACCAAAACTTTTCCAGACACCTGAGGCAAGATGGGGTCGGCCACTGAAGAAGTCAACCAGAATAAAAACTCGGAGCCCAGCAGTGATGACGAAAAAACTCCCTTTACTGAGAAGGAGGTCAATGGGGATGATGTTCAGATTGTGAAGAATGGCATCGAAAATTGTCAGGACCACTCAACTTCTTCAAAAGATAAAAAAGGGGGCATAATGACCAAGCTCAAAAACAATGCCATTTACAGAGAAAAGTATCTGATATCACTTGGAATAATGTGGAGTTTCTTTGTTCTAGTAAGTAAAATTATTTATATTGTGGAAATTAAAAAAAAAAAAATTATTTATATTTTTTTTCTTTTTCTCAAAACTGTAGAGGGACTGGTGATATTTGAAGCATGGAATGTTAGTCATGTTACATTTTTTTTTGCATGAAGATGGTTATGTTTTATTATACCCCCTGCTCCAAAGGAGAGGGGGTTATACTATTTTACCCATGTGTGTCTGTCTATTTGTCTGTACTAAATTTCTTTTTGCACTTTTTCTCAGTAACTGATCTGATGACAGATGCTTGAAATTTTACACACGCCTTGATTAGACTTGCCATGTGATAGGATTAATTTTTTTTTATACAATGTCAACTTTCTGTGTATAATTTATGCATTTGTCTTTCTGACTGAATTTCAGAATATTCACATGAGAGTGCATTATTCCATATAATAGCAGGGGTATTACTAGTGAGCATTGGGTCATAGATTTTTGTTGATTATGAATGTAATCTTTACTCCACAGGGTTGGACCATTGGTCAGTTTGGTCCATCTTTATTGGACCTAAGGATCATCACAAATGCATCATTGAAAAAAGCCTCTGGATTCATGACTGGTCATTCGGTGGGGTACCTTGTGGGTTCCATTATATCAGGAATAATTTTTGACAAAATGAAAGGAGAGAAGACCTATTGTGTGTCTAGTTTTAGTTTGGCTTTGACTGTTATTGTTGCTTTCATACCATGGTGTTCTATTTATGAACTGATGGTTGGAATCCATGTGTTCAAAGGAATGGCAGGAGGAGGACTAGACACAAGTAAGTACTTATAATCATGCATGTCAAGATATATATATTATTTTTTACTTAGTAAAACTAACAGTTATTTCAAGTGCCAATAAAGTTATATTTTTAAGAAACATAATTTTCCAAGAGGGATTTAGTAGAAAACTATTTTCATAATTTAAGGTATGTCACTCGTGACATTGGCAAGGGATTTTTTTTTTTGATATTTTACATATCTATATATATATATATACTTTGTACTTATGCAGGATATGTAAACTCAAAGTGTGCACAATTTGTGCTAAAAATATCTCGGAAACATACATTGACGACCGATATATCTAACATATGAATACATGAAAATTTGTCAAAAAATATGTATGACCATAACCTATATGCCAAGTTTCTGACTTTCAGCATATATTGAATGAAACAAATCTGTACATTTTTGCCTATTTTCTTCACCATTATTTTTTGTAGCTGGTAATGCACTTCTTATAAGTCTATGGCGAGCTGATGGGAGATCATTCATGCAGAGTATCCATTTTGCCTTTGCTATTGGGGGAGCAATTTCGCCTTTCGTTACTGCCCCATTTCTGGCTCCAGATGAAAACCCTCAAAACAACTCAGTACCTAGCAGTGACATCATAGGAAATGCTAGTCTAACTACCACAACAGATCTAAGCAATGCAACACAGTGGGATGTTCCTCGGACAGAATCCAGATTATTTATTCCTTTTTCAATCGCGTCTTTTCTTGCAGTTACGGCAACCATCCCATTATTTGTTATGGCTTGCACATCAAAAAGACCAACTGAAAAAAAGACAGAAAAGTCTGAAGACGAAGAGGTCGATAAAGAAAGAAATGTGGAGAAATTATCAACCGGAATGAAGGTCCTAGTGTTAATAATTATGATGCTGTTAATGGGCCTCTATTGTGCCATGGAAGACGGATTTAATAATTTTCTTGCCACTTTTTGTGTCAGTGAGTTAAAATGGACCAAATACATAGCTTCTGTTGTCACTGCCGTGTTTTGGGCAAGTTTCACAGCTGGAAGATTTCTTGGCATATTCCTGGCTCGCAGTTTTAAGCCTGTGAGGATGATATTCATTCTTAGTGTTTTCCTACTCATAGGATTCTTGGGATTTTTTCTGACTGCCCAGTTCAAGTTTTATGAAGGAATTTGGATTTCTACAGGACTGATAGGATTTTCCATGTCCATCATTTTCCCTTCTATTTTCTCTTGGACGGAAGATTCCATTCTCCCTGTGACAGGGTTTATCGCTTCACTGTTTCTCATTGCATCTTCTGCAGGGTCGATGATAAATCCCATAATTCTAGGATTTTTGATGGAGAATTCCACTCCAATGTGGTTCACTTACATCATGTTAGGAGAATCTGTAATAATGTTAATGGTGTTTTTCTTGGTATGGACCATTGCTAATAGGATCAAACTTCCCAAGAACACATTCAAGGAAGTGAAAATTGAAATTCGTTCAGAAGATCCAGATGAGTACAGGAGTATTATTGCTGAAAGTGAAATAAATGAAGACCGTCTCTGAAAATTAATTTTTTTTTCTGGGTTTCCAAAAACAGCAAAGTTTTATTTTGAATTCCAAAATCAGCAAAGGAGTTATGTCTCTGATAGTGAAGTAAACAGAGACTATCTTTGAAAATGAAATATATCATTCTGGGATTTTCAAATTAATGAGTGCAGGTCAGAGTATTATAATTGCTGAAAGTGAAATAGGCAAAGATTGTGTCTGCTTTAAATTAAAATTCGTTCTGGATTTCAAAACTGAAGGAGTTTTATAATAGCAATAAAGTGATATAAATGAATTTTCATTCTTTGAAAGTATATAAACCTAGCATGATTTTCTAGCATTTCAAAATTGAGAGCAGATTTATTCCTTTTATGTTTTTAAAAATGATTAAAGACATTTTTTTGTGATTAAATTATTATTGATTTCAGGAGCCAGATTTATAAGCATGTTTAAATATCAAAAACTTAATATATTCCCTTTAGTTTTTAGAAATGTTGAAGACCAAAGTAATTTTTTGTTAAATGTTATCAATACATGTATATTTTTCAGTATCTGATAAACATTTAATTTGTATTAAATATTATTGCTATTTTATTCCAGTTACAGATATACCTTGATTTTATTATTTCTTGTGGATCAATAGTTATCCATGGCTTGGTCTGTCTCAGGTTGTATATTATGTTATTTTTTTTTAATTTTACTTCAAATAATTTTTTTTTAAGTTGAAGCAATTTAATGTACAAGTGTATTTTCAGTCTTGGGTACATTGTACAAAATGTTTACAGCTAGGGATATAACCTAAAGTTTCTGTGAAATTTTATTATAAAAAGTTTCTTTTTGGTAATGAAGTTGGTGAGCAGACTTTGTATATATTTTTGTCATGACAGTTTATGCCTTTTATCTAGTCAAGGTGACCTTCAATATTCAGAATGTTAGACCTATAAATACATAAGGTCATTACACCTATCCTTATAATGTGTAAAGATCAGATTGCGAACCATCTGTAGTATACTGTGCACTGGACCATGGATTTGGTTGTGAGGATGTTTTTTTAACATGATCAGAAGATTGTATTATTATCTTTTTGCTTTTTTTGCATCTCTGTGTACCTGGACACAAGGTTATTCTCATAAAAACAATCATGATGATAAAAGTAGAAAATGCATAAAATTAATGACATGTTTCTATCATTCCAGTAAATATGAATATACAAGTATAAACATCAAACATGAATATTTACATCCACTGAATATTTTCTCCTTTATTTCTTAAGAAAACCCATTGCGTTAATCACTGCATGAACTACAGTCGGCATGTCGCCTGTACAGATTTCTTGATCAGTGGCTGTTCCATCAATGAATCGTATAAAGACGTTCGCATCATTAATACAACAATTAATCTTTTTAATCCTACTTTAAATGATTATTTAAACAGATATAAATATAAACAATAAAATGTCTTTCTTTGTTTGTTATTACTGGAATGAAATTTATATAACCCGCTTACGCAGGTTATGTATTTTTTTCTGCAACAGCTGCTTCCATTAATTCCAGTAATAACAAACAAAGAAAACATCTTATTGTTTAAATAAACTTCAACTTGACCACAGCAATGTTTAAAATACATGTAAATACATGATCATTTTCAATTATTACTCTCATGCATGTTTTCTGCTTAGCAGAAATAGGATTACATTTTATCTTCATGCTCATGATCTTACAATGAAACTTGTCTTATCTGGCTAAATATTTTTCTTTGGAACTTACTATTGATGTCCAGATTAGACGAGATTTATTTCTCAATCTCTGCTCATCATATACATGTATAAAGTGGACCTTCAGATATCCGGACGCCAGATATCCGGGTGCTTCAGTATCCGGACGATGTTTCATCGGAATGGATTTTTAAAAGTTACTTTGTTCTTGCTTAACGGGTAATTCAGATATCCGGACGCTTCACATATCTGGACAAATTAATGGGAACCAAAGCGTCCCGATAAACGAGGCTCCACTGTTCATATGTAATGTACAGGTGGCTTCTGTGACAGATTTCATTGCTGTATAAATTAATTCACTTTCATCAATGAAAATGATTTGGCAATACTTAAAGTGAAGAGGTTCTTGTTCATTTAGTTATTGTTTGATTACTATTCAGTTCTTATACTAGTAATATGTTGTATAATACTGTGATATTTGGAGAATTTTATGAATATTATTATTATGTATAACAGAATGTGACCAAATAAGTTGAAATTACAAGTGCTTGTATTAAACAAATACCAGTAAGTTTATACATGTATACATATGCTATTTTAAATTGCATTTTAATCAAGGAGTGTTCAAAGACTTTTAATAAGTACTAGTACTGAAATAAACAGGTAAAATATATGATGAAATTTACTATTAAAATTTATTCTTTTTTCTTTTTGTTTTTTGTTTTGCTACTATAGTGTTTTCTACTTAAAAATAAATCCAGATATTAAACACTAGCTTACATGTCTCTTTCAGTAAGTGTGTTTGGTCATACCCATAAGACACAGATGTTGTATATTAAAATAAATGTGTTCTTACAAAACTAGTGATAAAAACAACGGTCTTTCACTTTCACATCATTGTAAAATAAAACCATTTTATTGTTCCAAGTTTAATTTTTTTAATTGTTCATTACAGTTGCTTATAGTTGTATTTTAAATGCATTTTGTTAAGTATGTTGCATTTGTTAATTATTATTATTACAGTGTATTTATTGTTTCAATGCCTTATGTAAGTGTAATTGCAGAATGAAAACTTTAGAATTAATTCATTTTATCAAAAACCTAAGTAAAACATTTCATTAGTGAGAAACTTTTGTGTCACAGTTATCTACTTGAAAAAATAATTTGTGAATTAAGGTATTTAATTATTCAAATGTACAAATGAAAATATACACAAACTTTACCATCTTAGTATATGTGTGTTGTATATCCTATTAATTATCAGATGAATACGCAAGAAATTTGGATTGGCTAATTTTGCATTAAAGAATTCAAGAAATTCCATTTTTTTGTTATTAATTCATTTAATCATTAATGAAAGAGGAATGTTCAAAAAAGTCTTGAATTATTTTTATTCAGAACTTTCACAAGTAAAAAGAAAAAAAAAGAAAGCCATTGATCTGAACAATCAGAATTCATTCAATCATGACAAAGATTGTTCCAAGTCGCTACAATTATGTACATTTATTTATTTGAAGTCCATAAAACAGTATAAAGAAAATTTCAAGACATTTTGATATAAGTATGAAGTAATTGTCTAAAACTTTTTGTTTAGAGCAGTGGAAATGAAGGATATCAAAGACAGGTGAAAGCTCCTTCCATCCCCATGACCCCTGCCGATTAAATGAACCGTTTCATTGACAACAAATAAGAACCCGATTTCACACAATCAGTTTAGAGATCACTTTTCATTTCCCTGTCCTTTAAAGTCTATATATGGCTCGCCAAATTCACAAAAATGAGCTAATCATAGTTTCACAATCGATAAACTAGGTTTATCGGTTGTAAACTATAGTTAACAACGTTAATCTATATTTTACATCTGTAAACCATAGTTAAAGCGATAATCTGTTTCACAACCGTAAACTCTTTAAATTTAACACCGAAAACGATCATTTGCGATTGCAAAACATAGATTATCTGATAAATACAGTTTCACGATTTGTAAACTATAGTTTACAACTTTTAACTATAGTTAACTGATAGTATGGCACGCCAAATTCACAAAAATGAGCTAATCATAGTTTCACAATCGATAAACTAGGTTTATCGGTTGTAAACTACAGTTTACGGACTGTAAACTATAGTTAACAACGTTAATCTATATTTTACATCTGTAAACCATAGTTAACGCGATAATCCATGTTTCACAACCGTAAACTATATTTAACACCGAAAACAATCATTTGCGATTGCAAAACATAGTTATCTGATAAATACAGTGTCACGATTTGTAAACTATAGTTTACAACTTTTAACTATAGTTAACTGTTAACTGATAAATATAGTTTCGATTTGTGAGACTATGATTAACAACTCTTAACTATAGTTAACTGTTAACTGATAAATATAGTTTTGATTTGTGAAACTATGATTAACAACTCTTAACTATAGTTTACGATTGTAAATTATAGTTTATAAACGTGAATCTATGTTTATCAACAAAATCTATTGTTAAAGCTTTATTACAGACAGATAAACTTAGATTAGCATTCGTAAACAACCGTTAAATATAGTTTTACAAATGAAAACTATAGTTAACGAATTGTTAACTATAGTTTACGGTTTGTAAACTATAGTTTACAGTCGATAAACCTAGTTTATCAACTGTGAAACTATGTTTAGCTCATTTTTGTGAATTTGGCGTGCCATAGACCTGCACCAATAACTTTTACGAGGTCCATTATCTGGAAAATGTATGTCGAATTCAGCATCTGAAGCAAGTCCATTAGTGTGCATCCTAAGATGTATCATCCATGCAAGTTTGCTCAACAGAGAGATCAAAGTTACTTGGAAATGAAACCAGTATAAAAAACTAACCTTTTCACTAATCCAGTAAATATAGGTCAGATTCAGCATCCGAAGCCAGCCTAGTAGAATGCACCCTTAGATGTATCATCCATGCAAGTTTGGTCATTATAGGACTCATAGTATCTTTGAAATGATACCTGTACCAAAAACTTTAACCTGTTCACTCAACCGGAAAATGTAGGTCAGATTCAGCATCCGAAGCAAGTCTGGAAGCATGCATCCTAAGATGTATCATCCATGCAAGTTTAGTCATCATAGGGCTCAAAGTATCTTTGAAATGAAACCTGCACCAAAAACTTTTACCTGCTCACTCAACCGGAAAATATAGGTCAGATTCAGCATCCGAAGCAAGTCTGGTAGTATGCATCCTACGATGTACAATCCATGCAAGTTTGGTCAACATAGGGCTCATAGTAACTTGGAAATGAAACCTGCACAAAAAACTTTAACCTGTTTACTCAACCGGAAAATGTAGGCCAGATTCAGCATCCGAAGCAAGTCTGGTAGTATGCATCCTTAGATGTACTATCCATGCAAGTTTGGTCAACATAGGGCTTATAGTTACTCGGAAATGAGACCTACACCAAAAACTGCACCAAAAATGTTAACCTGCTCCAAAAAAGAAACATCTTCCAAGCATGTCTAATCAATATAGGACATAGAAGTACTTAAAAAGAAAACTGCTCCAAAAAACTTAACCTTAACCCGAGACGCCGACGCCGAGGGTATTGCTATGGCACGCCAAATTCACAAAAATGAGCTAAACATAGTTTCACAATTGATAAACTAGGTTTATCGACTGTAAACTATAGTTTACAAACCGTAATAAACTATAGTTAACGATTCGTTAAGTATAGTTTTCATCTGTAAAACTATATTCAATGGTTGTTAACTATAGTTTACGAATGCTAATCTAAGTTTATCTGTCTGTAATAAAACGTTAACAAAGATTTTGTTGATAAACATAGATTCACGTCTGCAAACTATAATTTACGATCGTTAACTATAGTTAAGAATTGTAAACCATAGTTTACAAATCGTGAAACTGTATTTATCAGATAATATTTCCATTTCTATTTTTTTCTCTGTGATAACTCTTTGAAAGTTGTCGGAGTTTATTTCCTGATAATTCTGCCGGAATGTAAATTAGGCAGGTCGATAGGTCAGAAGCTAAGGAGGCCTAATATGCATGCAAATCTCGTGCGCATCTGTCTCTGACGTGTCTGACGCTAAGGAGGCCAAATATGCATGTAAATCTCGTGCGACTGCCTATGTGTTTGACGTCAGTGGGCGAGGACTATTGAAATAGGCATGGAAGTCCTCGTGTAATATGTCTATGTCTACATTTTTAAAGTCTAAATATACTGAGTACTAATTAGACAGTGATTCCTTAAACCTATGTTTTGCGATCGCAAATGATTGTTTTTGGTGTTAAGTATAGTTTACGGTTCTGAAACATAGATTATCGCGTTAACTATAATGGTTTATAAATGTAAAATATAGATTAACGTTGTTAACTATAGTTAACAGTCCGTAAACTATGGTTTCGTTAACTATAGTTTTCATCTGTAAAACTATATTTAACGGTTGTTAACTATAGCTAAGAGTTGTTAATCATAGTTTCACAAATCGAAACTATATTTATCAGTTAACAGTTAACTAAAGTTAAAAGTTGTAAACTATAGTTTACAAATCGTGAAACTGTATTTATCAGATAATCTATGTTTTGCAATCGCAAATGATTGTTTTCGGTGTTAAATATAGTTTACGGTTGTGAAACATAGATTATCGCGTTAACTACAATCGATAAACCTAGTTTATCGATTGTGAAACTATGTTTAGCTCATTTTTGTTAATTTGGCGTGCCATACAGGTCTATTACCGAGAAACTATAAGGCTTATATAAACCCAACTTGCACAAATGATGCATCAAGGGACGAAAACTCTCAAACTTGCTTCAGATGTTGGATTTTCGTTGAGGTGAGCTCTGTAATCTCTGATTACCTATGTTTTTATTATAATTTCAACTTGCTTCTAAAGCTATTTTAAAACAAGCTGTATGTGTCTATGTATACTAGTATTTTTAAACAATTTTTATTTTCAAAACATATTTTCTGGTTGTTGGTAAAGCCATGTTTAAAATCTCCCACAGGTTATCTGGTTCTTTGACTTAAAAAAAGTGAAAACGTTATATTCTTTTGCATCCAACCTTCTGTCTGTTCTTATTACATGCAATCGTTTTTGAGGGGGGCAAAGGTGAAGGTTGTTGGTATCCAAGGAAACGTCTTGTAACACGAACAGGTGAAATGCACTTTTGAAATATAATAGTCCTAGCTAGAATGTTTTAGAAGTAAGCCAAACTAGAAATTCACAGTAAAATAAAGTGTACCCAAAAAAATGTTATAATATTATTTTCATTATCATAAATGATTTCCTATCCTTGTGTGTGTTCAAATATCTTCAAATCATGATCCAATATAGCAATAGTTGCTGAAAGAAATAAGCAATGCTTAAATTTTATATGTCGTACTATTTTCAATTGAATGAAAATCTATTTTGGGAAGTTTAAAAAAAATTGGGAATTTAAGAACAGAGGACTTGCATCTTTAACTTTTGCCTCTCTCTCTCTCTCATGTAAAATTCTCTGTAATTAAAAGTACAATATGAATGTCTTGATAAGGAATCAATATTTATAGTGGTCGGGTTCGAAATTTTGCCTTCTGGTCTGTGGTTGCAAAGGTATGCTAGTAATTTTTTCTAATTTTGGAACAGCTGTCTCAATAATTTTCAACAATGTAGAGTTATTTTGAATAAATTCATGAAATTACTGCAAAGGAATGTCATATTGTTTCAAGATCAAAGTGAATAATGTCCTAGACCGCATTTAATAATTTATCTAGGACGCCACACAGCTGATTCAGGAACTAAATACAAAAACCGATAAATACTCTACTTAAATTTCCGGATATTGCAATACATTTCTTTTTTTTTTCTTTCTTTTTTCTAAAAAAGTAGATGTAATCAGTTAGAAGAGTGGATTGAAAGAGATTTCGAATCATACAATGGAATCATTTCATAAGTAGCCAACTAGCGTTTAATAAAAAGTTACCTAAATGGACTCATTTGCATTAATTAAATAAAAAAAAGATAACTTCAAAAGTACAATCCACCTGTTTTGATATACCGGTACATGAAATTATGTAGATAAATTCAACTTTCACCTGCATGTGATGTAAATTCTTCCTACTTAATTGGTTAACAAGATATTCTAATTAAATAACGATCAATATTTTAAACCGAAGTGGGCTAAACTTGCAAATAAAATGTTACATGGTTTTCGATTATTTATTTAAAGTCAGCATAATTGTTATATTCAACCTTCAAATGCGATGTTTCTTGACATAAAAAAGTTTCTCAGACCGGGGTCTTTCTTCCCTTTGTACGCCTTCATTCTTTTTTGCATTTCTGTCTTCTGTAGATTTGCAAAGACTTAAGAATTTCTGGGGTAATCGAGGGTCAAAAAATCTTTTCCTACGTAAAAACTTGATTCCGGAAATTCTCTTATATTTTCACAATCAATTCATAACTTGGAATATGACTGGAAGTGTTCTTTGGGTTTGCAATAAGGTTTGGTGCTTCATTTGATAAAAAATAAATCCCCTTAACACAAAGATGCTTTGTGACAAAACTGGATAGAATTGACCCAGTGGTTCACGAGACGACGTGTGGCAGACAGACACTACCCAACCCTCGATTGATCTGAAAAGCCCATCTGAACCTACATGTATAGCACTGGCTCAGGCGAGCTGCTGAGACCTAATTGCAAAGCAATATAAGAATAGGTCAAAGAAACAGGTGTTTTGTAGAAAAACGTCCTGAATGCATGGTGAAAACCAGGCGTTCCGATACTTTATTGCACTTCTACAAGACACCTCTAATCAGCTCTGTTAATTAATCGATAAAATAATATTTATCGCTTCATTCTTTAATAAAAAATCAAATAAAATAAATTTAACATTCCAGACACCTAAGACAACATGGGGTCACCTATCAGAGAAATAAAGCCAAATGAAAACTTACAGCACAACATTGATGATGAAAAAACTCCTTTTACCAAAGAAGAAGCCAATGGAAATAGTATTCAAGTAAAGAAGATTGACGTGGAAGATTGTGAAGACCTCTCTGATAACAAAGAAAGTATACTAACTAAACTAAAAAGTAATGCCATATACAGGGAAAAATATCTTATTTCAATAGGAATAACATGGAGTTTCTTTGTTTTGGTAAGTGATTTTTTTTTAATGTTTCTTGTTGGTCAAATTTTAACGAAGCCTGTAGATGCCAGGTAAAACATATTCTATCTGGCGGCCGCTACATTATTAACTGGCAGCCGATAAATAATACTCCGACAGCCGCTGGATAAAAAGATCTTACGACCGCTTGAAAGTTATCTGGCGGCCGCCGTTTAAAAAGATATATGGCTCCGACAGTCGCTAGCTAACATACTTGTAACTTGCGGTAGCCAATTGCTGCGTATTATTGTTTTTGTGGCCACCACCAGATAAAATATTTTTCAACCTGGCATCAACCGACTTCCGTAATATTTGGAGTTACATGTATAGGTGGTTAAATACTATAGGTGGTTAAATACTGTTATATTTACTTGTATTTTTTGTTCTAGTATCAATGGTAGGAATGTACTATTTTTTCAAAGGGTTGGGCTTATGGTCAGTTTGGTCCATCTATCCTGGACCTAAGGATCATCACACACACATCACTACAGGAGGCATCTGGTTTTATGACCAGTCATTCGGTGGGGTACCTTGTGGGTTCCATAATATCAGGAATAATTTTTGACAAAATGAAAGAAAAGACATATTGTGTGTCCTCTTCTACTTTAGCATTAGCTATCATTGTGGTTTTGATACCATGGTGTTCTTTTTATGAACTGATGATTGGCATCCATGTGTTCAAAGGAATGGCAGGAGGGGGACTAGACACAAGTAAGTATAACCTTAACTTATCAAAGAGAAATTAACAGGTCAAGTACAATTCATGATTTAGGCAGAACAGGTTTTTTAAAAAATATATAATAATTGCAATTATTGTACCAACCCAATCAATCATCAATGAGGAACTCGAACATCTTTTTAATATTAACCCTAGAATATTTTGGTTGTATAAATAGTTGAGATTATGTACGCTTTGATGCGATTGCATTTGATAAAAGTTTGCGATTTTATTTTTTAAAAAGTTCTTAAATTCACTTTGATTAATGCCACCTATCGATACTAGTATGGTGTTGTACAGTGTTCATGAAATATCTACGCATATACATGTAAGAATGTTTTCAATTTCAGCTGGAAATGCCCTTTTAATAAGTCTATGGAGAGCTGAGGGCAAGTCGTTTTTCCAGAGTATACATTTTGCCTATGCTATTGGTGGAGCAATTTCGCCTTTTGTGACTGCCCCATTTCTTGCCCCTGATAAAAATAATAATCAAACCGAGAGAGATGTCTTCCGAAATGCTAGTGTAACTGCCAATCCTGTTACCAGCAATTCGACGGGATGGAAGTTTTCAGACTTGTCCATGACAGAATCCAGACTGTTTATCCCCTTCTCGATTACAACTTTTCTTGCAGTTACAGCAGCTCTACCATTGTATATTCTGGCTTGCACATCAAAAAGACCAACAGATCTGGAAACGCAGAAACCTGAAAACGAAGAGATCGATAAAGAGAGAAATGTGGAGAAATTATCAAGAGGAATGAAGGTGCTAATATTAGCCATCATCATGTTATTTATGGGTCTCTATTGTGCCATGGAAGATGGCTTTAATAATTTTCTTGCCACTTTTTGTGTCACTGAATTAAAATGGACCAAATACATAGCTTCTGTGGCCACTGCAGTGTTTTGGGCGAGTTTCACGGCTGGACGATTTCTTGGAATATTCCTGGCTCCCATCTTTAAAACTGTAAAAATGCTTGTCGTTCTGAGCACATTTCTACTCGTAGGATTTTTGGGTTTCTTCTTGACTGCCCATTTCAAGATTTACGAAGGGATTTGGATTTTTACAGGATTTGTAGGATTTTCAATGTCAATTATTTTCCCCTCTATTTTCTCGTGGACGGAAGAATCCATTCTGCCAGTCACAGGGTTCATAGCTTCACTGTTTCTCATTGCTTCATCTGCAGGGTCAACAATTAATCCCATTATAATAGGATTTTTGATGGACAATTCCACTCCTATGTGGTTTACTTACATAATGTTAGGGGAATCTGCCATTATGTTGATGGTATTTTTCATGGCCTGGACATTTGCCAAAAGAATTAAAATTTCCAAGAACACATTCAAGGAAGTCGAAATTGATGTTCGTTCAGAAGATCACGAAGACACTGAATGCAAGAAGTTTATTGTTGAAAGTGAACTCAATTAGGACTGTTTTTGAAAATGAAAGCTATCATTCAAATAGTACAATTGCTACGCCTCGGGAAATAGTTGCTGTCTTGGGGGACGATAAAATTGATTTTAACCTCATAGCCAGTAAATAGGTTATATTATTTCATCCCCATCATACATTTTAGATTAAAAAAGCCAAATTCACGTATAATTTAAGCTATAATTTATTATCCTGTGGCCTAGGAAGGCTGTTATTTAGCTCAGTTGCACCAAAGGCTCAAGGAAGCTTTTCTGATGGAAAAGTTATGTTGTGAATTGTTGTTGTCATACATGTAATATCTCACAGTTTCATCTTCTTCAGAACAACTAGACCAAACCTTGCCATAAAGCATCCTTGTTCAAAAGGGATTCAAGTTTGTTCCAACAAAAGGCAACAAACTCTTCCAAGGGGACCTAATTCACAAATAGTTAAAATTGGGTAAAAGCGAAGATAAATTTTCTCTCAAGAACTTCTAGGCAAGAAAATACGAAGCTAATTTTAATTGTGAGATCACTAATGTTGGAGGGGATTTAATTTTCGTGGTTTTTGAGGTATGGAGAGACCCAAGAATTTATGATCATCACGAACTTTAAACTTTCATATACATTACATACATTACTACTAGTAGTATACATTTTCCTTTACGAAATTAAATCCCAACAAACATTTCTTTTTCTCAAATTTCGAAAAATTTAACTCCCTGAAAATGTGTGATTTTACAGTGCTGTAATGAAACATTTTGTTATATTAAGATTGAAACATTTTGTATCATATTCTGATTGATTTAAATATTAGTTCTAATGCATAATATTGAAGTTGTCTTGTTCTTTGATAAACAAAGCATAAATAAGTAAAGAAAATTTGTACCATACGTTTGTTGGGCTTTAAAAAGATATATTCTTTGATCATTTTAAAAAAAATATCAACGTTTATGAATGAACAAGGTCTTGTTTACATTTTACGATTTATATTATAAATTTTAGTTAATCTGTAGAAACCCCTAATATATGAAAAAAATCACACTTTAAGGTTTACTTTGATACACCTTCTGTTAATTTTCAGCGTAATACCCAAAAACTTTGCTAATGAGGCAATAAAACGAAAAACCGTTGAAAATGTTGTTTTATTTGTTTTGTCATACCAACAAGAAACGTCGTCTCATTTAAGATTTCCCTAAACTCACCATGCTCACATTGATAAACTGCGAGAATATTTTTCATCATGCAGATTTTTTCATTTCAAAATGTTGACCCTCCTTTGATATTTAAGACAATTTTTAACAAGAATTATTACACACTTACGCATATTGTAATTTGGGATATTGAAGTTCATAATCTATTTTTTCAATCATAATTATATATACAAAAAAAAAATGAACAATTAAGACTGATTGCAGGCTTTACGATAATTAGTAGTTGATATGTTTACCACTAACGGATCAATAATTTAGTTGGAATATTTAAAAATGTAGGTAAAAAAGTTAAAAGCAAATGTGTTTGATTACTAATATTTTGAAGAAAAAATGCAATTTACAATTATTGCTGTTTTTGAGGGCGATCCGATGATTTAGATACCTGAGGTGTACAATATTCACTGAGCCTAAAGAGCAAGGTGAATAATGCACTTCGAAGGTGATCAAATCCACGTATTAACTGAACACTCCCTCCCCCAGCCATTATTGTTTTATCATATGATTAAAAGATACATATGAAATATTTGGAGATAACTCCCAGTATTCAAGATCAAAAGTCCAAAAAACAATTATACAAAATAGGAGCAGAGCAAACACCGACCTCCAGAACATCAGAGGTGGCATCAGGTGCCATGGAGGAGTGAGCATCCCCCTGCCGACCTGTCACATCCGCAGTGTGATCCTTGTCATGATCGGGAAATACCGAGAAAATCCGTCGTCAATTCAGTGTATATATAGATAATGGACTAACATTTAGTATGAAAAAACGCCGATCAGCATTTGACTCAATGATAAATTGTATTTGTTGACTAGGTCATTGTATCGACCATAGAACTTACAAAATGATGACTTTAAAGGAGACTGCTGGTATTTTTATTTCATCAACTTGTTTGTCAATAATTTACCTCGTTTTAGAAATTGTTCATACAGTATGTAGAGTATGATCTTGCGTATCGAATCAACTGAAATATAGAGACTCAGAATGCAGGTGATGAAGGTACAAACTCAATATTAACTCCATGCCATCTTATTAATTGACATTTGATTTAGCCCTAGCCAAATGCAATGATCAGCGAAGAAGCGTTTAAAAAACAATTACCAGTCGTATAAATTTTGATTTCTTTAAAAAATCTATTTTACTTCAAATTCATGACATTTTGTTTTGGTGTTTGGATGGGATGAGGGTAGGGCGATTACGGTTCATTAGTGGGGGACCATGTAGTTTTTTAATGATATTTTTAGTCTATATTTAAATTTAAAAAAATGTTTTAAAAACACTAAATGATTTTTTTTAAATCAAATTTTAACCAAAGCATCATTTGAAAAGTAAAAATTTTCTACGTGTAAAGATATCTCTTGTTATATCTTTTAAAGCTAGATTTTCAAATGTATTTTCCTTGTACTTACCATAAACAATATAATGTACCGACACACCTTATTTTACTAATATATATTCACAAATTAAAACATCATCAGGGAATTTATTCTAAAAATTAAGCAATCCTTAAGTACCATTATTTTACTACATTTTAGCCTTAAGTTTATTGTTTTCTGACAATAAAAAAAATGGAAGCAAATATTGAATCAGTCGGGATCAAAAGCAGTAGGGTTTGAAATTTCAAGGATACAGTGTACTTCAAAATCCACCCCTTATCGGATGTCAGGTTTTTTTTTTTTGTTTGGTTGGTTTATTTATTGTATGTGAAAAAACAAAACTTATTCAATAAGAAGGTGAGTTTTTTTTATCGATTAGCATCATTTCTCTCGATTAAACTTGTCTGATTTTTAATCTTAAAAAAAAAAAGAGAGAGAAAACGGTCTTCGTATTCCTATATTTAAAAATTTGTTCCCAGCATTTTAGCTTAATCAAAATTTATATAAAGAGTGAAAAACTTATTTTTATCAAAATGAGTTTTAAAAAGAAATGTAAAATTGTAATATTATCTTCATAATAGAAAAATTCAAAACTCGTATTAAATAAAGTCATTAAAAAAATTAAAATGGAATCTAGATTGAAATAGAGTGAAAATTTATTTAAATCCTGAAACTGATTCAGAATTATTGAAATAAGTTTTGTCTAAAGTGAAACTATAACTTCGTTATTTAAAATCTTGAGTGATAAAACCGTACATATATCTGCATAGATATGTATTTTTTTTATCATTCGAAAATGCTGCACAATTATATGTTGTATTATAATAATCAGCTTGTTAGATTGTGTAATAACTACATGTACTTATCAACTTGTAGTAAACAATTTTTTATGTGATAACATCACAACTGATAAAAATTCAGAGATTAATAGAGCTCATATCTACACAGATGTAGTCCCATATGCATGAAGCTTATTTTTATCCGAGATTTTTTTTTTCATGTAACCTACATGGTACATGTATCTAACAATGAGTTAATTAAATGAAAATAAAGAAAAAGGGGCTTGAGGGAGAGTCACGCTGCAAAGCAATGATTAATTTGCCCTCTGTTTGTCCCTCTTGCCCTCTACAGTTGGGAATTCAAAACGGGACATATTCCACAGAAATCTCTCTTTAATTGGCTTTTCAATATGAGTGAACAATTCCTGAAGAGACATTTAAGTTTAACAAACAAAACATCACAATACAGAAAATACATAATTTTCGGAACTTCATGTATGTTGCCAAGGTTATTAAAGTTAAATGGTAATGCTACTAGTACTGACTAAAAGGAGAATATTCTGATTACTTTTTTAAATTGAATTAGATTTTAATTAATTAGTTCATTCAAGTAAATAAATTTTATTTTATTGAATCCTAATGATTTAATTTCAGTAAACTTTTGTCAATATTTCTTTACAAACTAAGAGATTAAACATAAGTAAAACCTTTAGCGTACATTTTAAATGATAAGTTAAAATCAGTTAGGCTCCAGTATTTCCCATTTGCTGAAAATATATTTAAATGAGCAGACTATTACAAATTGTTAATATTTAAAAACCCATAAGTAATTCAAAGCAAAATAATTCAAAACATGTGTAATTGTAGTTGAAAATCCCTTTTCACTTACATTTATGGTCACTGACATACAATGGAGCTAGCCATTCAAAAGGAAAACTGCCAACAAAGCCAAGAGGATGAAACATCTCCATTCACCAAAGAAGAAAAAGTTGATAGAAATGACTACAACAATGAAAATAAAGATGCATGTCGCCATCAAAATGAAGGATTTGGTGACTTTGATGATAAAGATGGAATTCTGTCAAAACTCAAGAATATCCCCAATTACAGAGAGAAGTATCTTATATCTCTAGGAATTGTGTGGAGTTTCTTTGTTTTAGTGAGTGGTATATTTATCTACATATCAACATAACTGAATTTCAGTCTTCAACAGGTGATGCTTTCTTCTTCAAGCTCTATGATAAACGTGATGACTTTAACTTTTCTATCGTCAAATTCCCCTACTTATGCAGTAAGGGAAGAACCAAGACAAAACCTGGAAATCCTTGAAATTGATTTTCCCGTTATTTCCCGATCAAGACAAGGAGCACACAGCGGGTGTGGTCGGTCAGCAGGGGATGCTCACTCCTCCATGGCACCTGATCCTACCTCTAATGTTTGCTCTGCTCCTGTTTTGTATTGTTTTATGGATATTTGATATTGAATACTGTTCGATATCTCCATATCCTTCATGCACCTCGCTGATCCCACCTCTGAAATTTTCAGGAGTCCGTGTTTTATGTTCACTTTACAGATTTGTATTGTTAATAGATGTTTTTTTTAGATCGATCACTTTCGATATTTTTTTTTTTACCTTTTTCACTATTGAACTCGCAGACAAATTGTATTGATGTTTTGTATAAGATTATTTTATTAACATTGATTTAAAAATTCAAATTTTAAAAATCTGGATTATCACATAATGCCCTAATTGGACTTATACCCCTTCCCCTTCGCAGGGTATCCAGAAGAAAGGACAAGCTTGAATTACTTACAAAGGACTCTTACATTTTACAGTTAAAAAATATGAATTCCCGTGCCTTAAACCAATCAAGCCGGACCCGCTAGTTGAAATGAAGTTGAAACACTTTTACTCATAAGCAACATTTGTGTCTAGTAGTATTAAAACCTGCCGTGGCAGAAAAATCGTGACCCAAAATTTCAATATCTGGGGTCGTATGATTTTGATCTTTAACAAAAAAGTAATAAAAAGATAATTTTAAATAGCTGATTACTTTTGAGCAATTTGACCTTTACCCATGTCAAACCTCATACCATAGGCGACCTTTGAATGAAATACATCCACGAATTTTTTAAAGATATTTTCAATTTCAAGGATTTCAAGGTTTTGTCTTGGTCATAACATAAAAAAATATAAATAATTCAAGAAATTTAAAAATGTAAAAGCTTTCTTTTAAACTTTTACAACTTTAAACTTTTAAACATTCGTCTGTAATTTGATGTTTATATCTATTTAATTCTTACAGGGTTGGACCATTGGACAGTTTGGTCCATCCTTCCTTGACCTGAGAATAATACCCGGTAACCAATGCATCATTGAAGAAAGCCTCGATCGGGCTTTATGACTGGTCATTCCGTGGGTTACCTTCTGGGCTCCGTTATCATAGGGCTAATTTTCGACAAGGTGAAGGAGGGAACATACTGTGTATCTTCATGTGTCCTAGCTCTGGCTCTGATCGTTTTTGCCATTCCTTGGTGCTCTGTTTATGAACTGATGATTGGCATCCATGTGTTGAAAGGAATGGCAGGAGGGGGATTAGACACAAGTAAGAACAAAAAGGAAAACAAATTACAGATAATTTCGTATATATTTTGACCACTTGTCCTTTGCTTTTCTTCTTCGTTACAAATCAGAGACATTGATTGCTAAAAAATGTCAATACATTAACTCTCTCTCTCTCTCTCTCTCTCTCTCTCTCTCTCTCCATAACTACATGTATATATCTAACAAAATTATTTTTGTAGCTGGCAATGCCCTTCTCATAGATCTATGGAGAGCTGATGGGAAATCTTTCTTACAGAGTATCTATTTTGCCTTTGCTATTGGAGGAGCAATTTCGCCTTTCGTAACTGCGCCATTTCTGGCCCCGGATGAAAATAACACACTATCCACACCAAACATCAGTAGAAATTATACTGTAAGTAATGACTCTATTGTGAGTAATCTTTCACGTTGGGATTCCTCCAACTTGTTTCCGAAAGAGTCCAAATTGTATATTCCCTTTTCGATAGCATCTTTTCTAGCACTTTCAGCCAGCATTCCATTATTCGTGCTAGCTTTCATATCTAAAAGACCAACTCATATCAAATCAGAGAGTCCGGAAAATACACACAATAATGAACAGAGTGATGACAAAAAGATGTCTACAAAAATGAAAGTGCTGATATTGATCATAATCATGCTGTTTTGGGGATTCTATTGTGCTATGGAAGATGGTTTTAATAACTTTTTGGCAACCTTTTGTGTAAATGAGATTAAGTGGACTAAATACACCGCTTCGGTCGTGACTTCTGTATTTTGGGCAAGTTTCACAGCTGGACGATTTTTGGGCATTTTCCTGGCTCGCATTTTCAAGCCTGTCAAGATGATTTTCATTCTTTGCTTATTGTTATTCATTGGATTCTTAGGATTTTTCCTTTCCGCGCGATTCGTGTTTTTTGAAGGAATTTGGATTTCGACAGGATTGATTGGACCAGCAATGTCTATGATATTCCCCTTAGTCTTCTCTTGGGCAGAGGAATCAATTCTTCCAGTCACAGGATTTATAGCTTCATTATTTATGGTAGCCGCCTCTGCCGGATCAACAATTAATCCCATTCTTTTAGGATTTCTGATGGACAATTTTACCCCGATGTGGTTTTCCTACATCATGTTAGGGGAGTCTTTCGTGTTGCTTGTAGTATTTGTATTGATATGGGCCAAAGGCAGCAGAATTAAACAACGCGAGAGCACTGTTGAGAAGTTTAAAACTGAGATCCAGTCCGATGATGACCATGATGTAGAGTCTAGAAGTATCATTGAAAGTGAGATTAGTGAGCATCTGCAAGAGAAAAAATCTACATCGTCGTGTATAAACAGAATTCATCACGTTTAGTCCCAAAATGTTCCGACAAACTACTTTACAATATTGTCTTTACATCAAATATGTTACTCATGTGGCCAAATTTTTACCATGTTTTTAGAGGAATTTATAGCAGTCTTTTATTTACAATAAGTGATATCTGTACATGTATATGAGAGCGTAACGATACCCCCACCCCCTGCCCCAATTTTAATCTTGGTAATATCGGATTCGTGGGAGACTTCAAAAATCATCATTCATCTTTATATATGAGCATCAAAAATCGAAAAACTGGTAAAATTCAGTTTAACCTGTAAAACAATAATAATAAGCAGTGGCGTATTTAAGGGGGGCGCACCCCCTAAAATTGTCAAAGTTAGCCTAAACATAGTTTTGTCGAGAAAATGTTTAATTGGTAGACCTCTTTTTTACCCTACAAAACCTCTAGAATCCATGAGCTTCCGGGGGCTTCGCCCCCATACCCCCACCAGGCCTCAAGGCGGCCCCCAGTCCCCCTGCCTAAATCTTGCGCCCCCTAACTTCAATTCCTGGATCCGGCCCTGATAAGGAATCCGTAACACTATCTTAAAACCAGTAGTATATTTTACATGTTTTTATAATTGTTGCAAAAAGTTTAAGATATACCAGATTTGTGAATATTTATGAACATTCATTTTAAAATGTATAAAATGTACATAGGTATTGTGCAAGAAAATGCGTTGAAAAGAATTCTTCTGTCTTTGTTATTTTCAATCTTTAGAGATGTATTTTTAATATTCATGTAAGCCTGACTATCAGTCAATTACGTGGTCTGTCTAAACCAGTCAACCACTCTAACCAACTACCGTATGTTACCATACGTATTTTGTCGAGCTTCAAGTCTAAAATTGTTTTAGTGGGTTCGCTTTTGGACAGATCTTTTCTCACTTTTAAGTGACTTTCCGCTTTTTATACAAGGAAAGAACAGACCTTAAATGTGGCTGCATAACAAACAGAAAAAGTGTAAGAAAATGCTTTCAGAAGGGTCAAACATGCACATCGAAATCGTCGAAAATTCACCAACCCCACCAGGGCTTTGCCCTGGACCCATTGGGGGCCTTAAGGCGACCCCTAATCCCCCTGCCTATCCAGGCGTCCACATCAAATGTACCCTGGCTACGCCCCTGCAATTCTATATCAAAATTGGTTTTGAGTCTTTTGAAAAAAGTCTTTTTAGGCCTACATAATTTCTTAATGGCATGTGATTTCTTGATTCAATTGTACCGTACGAACTTCATATGTCAACTAGTCATTCTAAGAAATAATTATATAATAGGGCCCTATATGATCTTTGTTAATTATGATGGACGCAGCATGGATTCCAACTTAGAGAAAGGGCTGGGATCATAATGTTACCTTTCAAGGAAAAATACGATAACACGACCCGGGGAGTGCTGCTTCTAAATTACTTAATTGATATTATGCCACTCACATCTAATTCGTCTCATATTTTTTTGTTTCGAACATATTTTATTGAACGAATCAAATGGATTGGAAACAAGTTCTTACATCTTACTAGTTCCTCTCCATAAATATAACAATATGTCGAGCAAATAATACATTAAAATATAATATTTATAATATTTTTATAATATTTTCAGGTGATGCAAATTAATTACAATTCAATTTAAAATCTACATGTTTCAGTAATAAATGTATGGATAGCAGCAAAAATATTAATATTAGTTGATACAGGCAAATCTCTATCACTTCATAATAACAGGTTAGTGTCAATTGTAACCAATTCTTCAATCAAAAAATATTTTTTTAACATTCAAAATATTTAATCTTTAAAAAGATTCCAAGACAAGAAATGAGGTGCTTCAGACCCTTGTTTTTTTTTTCAAATAATAATATACAGGTAAAAAAGAAGCTCTAGATCTGTGTGGAAAATAAATTGAAAGTTCCATCGCACATTTTTAATTATATAATACAAGTAACAGTTAACAAATCTGGATCTTCGAAGACATTTAAGTATCTTTGTTTAATTTTTAAGGTCTTTAAGTAAAATTAATTTCAATATTGAAGCAGAGAATTTATTAATTGAGAAAAATGCAATGATTAGTCATGAAAGAAACAGAAATAATTCATCAAGTAATTGGTTTTTAGAGGGACAAAGAGAGTACAAAAGTGAGATAAAGGATTGCACAAATCGGTTGATTGATTTTGCGTTCGATCACACATGCACAAATCATCAAACTTTCTGGAAAGTGTTGGCATAAAACAAACTCGGCGAAATAAACCGAAACTACATGGATAATTGTTCGAGGTTGTAATATTATAAGGTAAGAAAATATAATTTCTTTTGAGTCGATTTATTTCACTTCATTTACTGTTCGTCATATTCAGATTACTTGTGTTTAGAAATTGCATGAAAAGTGGAATTTTTTCATGAAATCAAAAAGGAAATACAAAATTAACAAAACAAAAAATGATTCAGCAATGCATTTACTGATGTAGTTTACAATTATATACGCCATAACTGATATTTCTATCTAGCATGTATGTAAGTCATTAAAGGATTTAAATCTAAATTTCAAAATATCAAATTTTGAAATAAATTTGAAATAGTTTTATTGCATCCTTAAAGAACATTTCTTTTTACTGAAAATTAGTGTAACTTCATAAGTTTAACAAATCGGTGAAACTTCACTTTACGTACTTGTAAATAGGTTGATGTTCATGAAAGTTTTTGAGAGCGAAATAACAAAGTGTATAAAGACCACCAACTTTTCAGGCCCTGGGGGCACGTGTTCACATCCAGTCATTGAACTGCAATCGACGTTAATCAATGTAATTAATACATCAAGGGCACGTCCAAACATAAATAATGTGATAAATTAGAAAAACTTAAAATATAGACATTAATATATGTCAGACCTATATTATTGTTATGCAATCTATTTTAATAATGCATAGGTTTGAAAAATTCTCGACAATATACTTTCAGAGCTACATTAGATGTTCATTTCTTTACTCAAGTCCCTTTGCAATGTACTGTTCTTCGTGTGTGGAAAAATAATGATATACAAAATATGTGCTTTTATATTTATTTTTGCCAATCACTAAATGGATAATTAATTATATAAATGAGGATTTAACCAATTCATTTCGCCATGATTCAGTTTGATAGCGTGATTCCAGGTTCGTAATTTCACTTTAAGTCTTTAAACATTTTATTTTATCAACAAAAAAATTTAGAACAGAGTCAGCCCTTTTAAGATAAAAATTGATGTAAAAATAAATGATAAAGGTTTATAATTTATCTAAATAGTTTGAATTACTAGAATAATCATACTGAATAAAATGATAGTTTTGGTTTATGCCGTGAGAATCAATACCGGTATTAATTTCAAAATTAAGTATATTATATTTTATTGCGACATTTCTCGTATTCTAGGATACTAAATTCAAATATCTAAAATTAAGATCCTCTGTTTGTTTTCTAGGGCTGCAGCATTTATATGCACCCAAAATGGAGGAGGACAGTGACCTAGCGACCGTAGATAGGTTCCGTTTGACCTACGATGGCCCTGACCTTGAAATCATAGAGCGAATCCGGCGGATGTATGAAAGAGTCCCGTTCGGAAAAAGCAAAAACGATGACGAAGAAGGACGAAAAAAGAAGAAAAGGAGACCAAAATTTTTAACCAGGCTAAAAAATGATTTGGATTTTAGAAGAAAATTCATCTTAACCATCGGATTGCTTTGGTCTTTTATGATCCTGGTAAGCTATGGCCGTTTTGTTTCTTGCAGATTGAATGGAATCTTAAATTCACAAGTTAAAGTGAGAAACACATTGATAATAACTTCAAAAACAAACTTTAAAAAAACAGTTATTACATGTATATATAATATATTTTGTATACTTAAAAGTATAGTTAGTATATTGAAAGATCACAGATCACTGCTGTGCATACAAAAAGGGTTGGAACACAGTGAGAGTGTGCAAATAAGCCAGATTCGTACTGACCAATTACTTGGTGAAAATAATTAAAGCGGAGTGCAAATCTGAAAACTTAAACCATGAAAAATTTGATCAAAACAATAGATTTGCCATAGTAGGTGTATATGACATTCTTTATGTTACAGACATAATGTTCATATTCTTTCACTCAATTCTGCTTTTTTCTAACAGGGATGGATCATTGGACAATTCGGTCCCTCCTTCCTTGACTTACAAATCATTACTTCCACCACCATAAAGAAAGGATCCGCCTTTATGACGGCTAATTCTGTGGGGTACCTCACGGGGTCCCTACTCTGTGGAGTTCTATTTGACAGCTATAACAAACTCTTGCTGCTGTTCATTGCTGTCCTAGGTAACGCCATCACAGCCGCCATTATTCCATGGTGCTTTGTGTATGAAATAATGGTCATCATGCATGTCGCCAAAGGGACCTTCTGTGGAGCTCTGGACGCCAGTAAGTTTATAAAATCGTTATTTCATAAGAACATAGATCAAGTAATTTAAAATTTGTCCACTAAGACTTGTTTCAGCTCTATAATTGTAAATTTATCTTACATGTAAGCTTCAAGTCCTTGACTTGCCCGGAGTCGATTCATGACCTAACATACTCAAATCATGGAACTTTTGCTCCTGTAGCCCGACTTTTAACCTCTACAGTTGGTTCAGACCTTTATTTTTAAATGCGGATAGAGACCCGTTTGTAATACAACCTTGTCAGATATCAAATCAAATTACATGTGTCAATTCTACATGTAACTGTAGTGATTCATAACATAGGTCTTAATGTGATTCATAACCTTGAATTTTATTTTTACAGTTTGTAATGCCGAAATAGTTTACACATGGGGCGAAGAGGGACGAGTCTACATGCAGGCTTTGCATTTTTGTTTTGCTTTAGGAGGAATTGTATCACCAATGGCAACCGCTCCTTTCTTGGCTCCGAAACATAAAACTTTCTTCCTCAGTAAAACTCCCGTGGATTATTACATACCGGAAGCAGATTTTGACACAGTGACAGTTGCCTTAAATGGAACAAAATCTGCTACAGGAGTGAATTTTACAGTCAATACCGTCACAAATGTCTCATTTACCAAAAATATCACGTATATTACTAAACTGGTTCCCCACCCTCCTCCAAAGTCTAGAATTTACATTGCCTATCTACTCTCGGCCTTGTTGGCCTCCACGGCAGCCATCTTCTTTTTCGTTTTATACAGAAAATCCATAAAGCAGACGAAGAAGAAAATTAAAAAACGAGCAAAAACCACCGAAGAAAGCCAGCCAAAAGTGCTTCCTTTAAAATCCAAAATAATTGCTATAGCAAACATGATGTGTATAATGGGGTGCTACAGCGCTATAGAAGATACGTTTGCTGGTTTTCTTGCAACGTTTTGTGTCAAACAAATGGATTGGTCTAAATCTGCTGGTTCCTTTGCAACATCGTTTTACTGGGCAGCATTCGGCGGGGGTCGTTTCTGTGGAATATTTCTGGTACGGTTTTTAACTCCGGTGCGAATGATATGCATGTACAGCGGCCTGCTGATTGTAGCATTCACCGGATTATTCCTAACTTCCAACGAAGGTTATGACGCAGGAGTTTGGATTTGTGCGACGTTAGCGGGATTTGCGCTTTCTATCATTTTCCCCACCATGTTTATTTGGACAGAGGAGGAACTTCTTACAATAACGGGGAAGGTTGCGTCACTGTTTCTGATTGCGTCATCATCAGGCACCATGGTTAACCCAATCGTACTTGGGACTCTGATGGACAAACTCACACCTATGTGGTTCTGTTATTTACTGTTCACAGAGAGTGTTCTTTTATTGGTCTTCTATCTTATAGCTCAACACGTCGCTTCCGTCATACATACTCCAAATACCGAAAAAACGAGTAAATTTGATGACGTGCGCCCCGTATTTTATGACGATTTTGATCCACGAAGCTTCTTAACTGACAAGTCAAAAGAGCAGAAATCCAAAGTGAATCCCGATCTGACTCTCAGTATCATTCCATTAAATGACGAGGATCCAAAAATTACAGAAATGGACGTTAAGGAGAACTCGCTGCCATTCAGCGGAAGTGACGAAGAATCGGAGACGGAGTCTTTATTGACAAGCGAAGATCGAGTCCAGAGTTAAGCAGGATTGGCCAAAAAAATATATCATATCTGTTTTAATTTGCATGCTGAAGAGCTCTAGATCTGTGGATAACTTTGTCATTTTAAATCAGTTTAAAACTGTTCAATTATAATGTGTCATTTTAAGGGAAAACAGTCGACTTCAATGAGTTAACTTTTAAAAAAAGTTTTTTGTAATTGTTTTTTTAATATGTTTATGGAATTTACTTGTATCAAAAGTTTTTTTCTAAAATAGAATTCTAGACACAGAATAACAAGTAATTTTTGAAGTAGGTAACTCTACATCTACATGTATGGTGAGAACCTAGTAAGTTGTTAGAACTTGTGTTCAAACCATTTGTATAGTAAAGTACTTGAATGGCGTTGTTTGAATTCTAAGATCTGCGTAGCAAGTCATATTAATTCAATGAAATTCATCAAAAGATGCAGATGTCAATTTGAAAGCGTTTTGACGATGAAAGCTGAGTACTGATAAGATGTTTGAACATATTTTATTGTATAAGAAACGTAGCACAGATACGTTGACATTAATTCGATTCACAGAAGCATGTTCTGAGTATGATCAATTTTTAAGTGAGGCAGACTCGTGACAGATAAGTTGATGTTACGGGAATTTCTTTTTTTTTCTTCTTCATATTTTTCATTTCAATAATTTTATAATGAAATATAAATAAGATTTTATTTCTAACCAACTAAATTTTGAAAATGTTGCAATCCTACTGAGTGTTTTAATTTCGAAGACATGGCTTTTGGAAGTAAAAAAGCTTTCGTGCATCGTGCTCAATAATCATCGATACTGTAATTGAAATCGCTACCAATTGTTAAGGATGCATTAATCAAACATGGAATTCTTCATGGCTTTTGCAAGCTTTGTTCAATATTTGAAAGTACTTGAATTTTGTTAAATTAAACTGATTTAATATACTAGGCAATTATCTTGTATATATCCTTTCTGTCAATAAATACAGTATCTAGATCCAGTATGACAAATGCATTTTGTTATTTTGGTCTTCTTTTTAAATCTAGAGCAAAACTGAGGAAAAATAAGCAAGATCATGTTATCTTCAAAATGGTTTTAATAAATAAAATTTCAGAGTAATATTGTGGAAAGTCAAGTTCTCCAATGACAATTGTAGACAACGTCTGTGACTCAAAGCTTTCCACATCTCAGGCAAACCTAAGAATTAAAATGACATGTGTACAAATATTAACATAATGTTACAGATTAATTGGTCGGAACATCTTGCGATTAACCGATCTGTATTCTATTCCTTGCATTTATAAACTGTTAATACATGTAGTACACAACTTTAACAAAATTATTTGAAAATGATATTTTCAAGTTAAGGATATCCGATCCTCAGCAAGGAAGGATAACTCCAAAAATTGATATTTAATTTGAAAAGCATCGAAATGAAGCTTGAAAATGAAATTTTTTCATGCAACAATTATCATTTTATTCATCTTAATAAGATTCAGTCATCGGAAGTCTTGGAAAAGGTCTTATAAAAGTTGACATTTGTACCCTATAAAAGGAGAAAAAATTAATACAGTTTTAGAAAAATAAGATTTTCTTGAATCCAGTCTTAGATACCAATGATTATTAGCATGATATTAAATAAGAAGTGATTTGTGGTGTCTTGCATGATAGCAAAAGCCTTTTACACTATGTATTACAGAATACATGAAGGAAATAGAAGACAAAAAATACCAAATAAGTATGAAAATCATGACAATTTCTCTGAATGCTGGATACCTATCGTTTTTTAAGCTAAAATATATTTGCTGATCAATTTGTAATTAGAAAATGCATTGCTGATATTCCAATTCACTTTTTCTGCAAAAATATTGGAGATTTGACCATTTTCCCTATATAATATGATTAACTTTAATCTATAACTTTAAAGAAATATTGTGGATAAATTTACATAACTTTGTGGATTCAGAGATACTTTTATGATTATTTTTGATTACTTAACTGCTAATTTTATACCTGAGGATCGGACTACTTTAAACTATAATAATAATATACGTAACCACTATTTTTAAATATGAGAATTTTTACCTTGGTCTGGAGAATCGTTGGCGGAGAAAGTACTTGTAAATGTAGAGTTGGCGCACATACTTGTAGACTTCTGCTGCACTCTCAAACCTGATAATTTTCAATGGGGTTTCGTAAATGACTTGACCTTGAAGTGACATACTCATTAGGCAGAACAGCACCATCGTGAACAGGAAAAAGCGAGGAAGCCTTAAAAAAAGCGGACATCATTAAGGACCATGCATATTTCTAGGCAATCAGAGTGATCTGCCCTTAGATCACGGCGTAATATAAGGGATAGAAAGCTAACTCCTCCTGGGTACCTGATCCCACTTCCGGAATGTCCGCGGGCCCGTGTTTATGCCCTGTTTACTATGGAATCCGAATAGGGCCATGCAGTTTACTATCGCACCATCGAGCATCAACTGAAAGGTCGATGGCGCGATAATGCGATGGCGCGATAACGATGAAGCGATGGTGCGATAACGATGAAGCGATGGTACGATAGCGCGATGACGATGATGCTATGGCGCGATAATGCGATGACGATGGTGCGATAGCACGATTGAGCGATAGTGAATATCGCTTCATCGTCATCGTATCGCGCCATCGTCTCGCACCATCGTGTCACTATCGCACCATCGCGTCATCGCACTATCGCTCCATCGTGCTATCGCACCATCGTCATCGCATTATCGCGCCATCGCTTCATCGTTATCGCACCATCGCTTCATCGTTATCGCACCATCGCTTTATCGTCATTGCATTATCGTGTCATCGCATTATCAACCCAAACCTCGATGGTGCGATGATGCGATAATGAACTGCGTGGCCCTATCCGGATTCCATAGTTTACACATTTTTATTGTTTGCAGTTTTCTATAAAATCGATCATTGATCATTATCTTAATTCAGCTTTTTTATTTAAATAGAAACAAATTAATTGAAAGGCATCATGATAAAATATTATTCTATATATCTAATCAATTCAAACATTTCTAGATCTAACAATTTATCACCGTATAAGCAGAATTTTTAGCGAGGATTTAATTTTGATATTATTAGCGGGGGTACTTAATATCGTTAAATATTAATTGCGCGTTTTATTAGGCCCTAGTTTCTTTAGTGACCATTTTAAAATCGATAAAATTGCATCTTGCTTAAAATAAAATACCAATTTTTAAAGACAAGATGCTAAAAGGAAAAGTGTAGAACACTGTTTTATTTTTGATTTTTTTTTATCTTTCAATGAATCTAAAAGTTTAAAATATTTTACAATTCAATTTATATTAAAAATTGCTTTTAAAAAGTAACTTTTCTAAAAATAAACGTGCCCAACACATAACCATTTACGACACAATTTTTAAAAATACTCACATTTTAGTTCTGACTACCACTGATCGCGTGTCTTTGTTTTTCTAGTAACAAGAGAAGACTTTTGTATAATATATATATCTAGGTGATTCACTTAAAATTGACTAACAGAACTCGATATTAATTTTACACCATAACGTATATAAATAGAGACAAATCATATCAGTTTTCAAGAAATTAACACATTTGATCATGATTTATGTGCGGGTGTTGAGAGAACATCAGTGGGCGATCATAACACAGAAAAACAGACTGTTGTGTCAATCCCCTACAAAACTTAAGATTTTGAATCACCCAGCTAATATGGATTGGTGATAAATGAAATGAATCAATGAATATTAGATACCTTATACTTATTGTAAAACAAGAGACCCATGGGCCAGATCGCTCACCTGAAAGTTTAAACCCAAAAGTAGTCCCATGACCGATCATGGATTTGCTATTTTTTAGAAAATGATTTCTAAAGAATTTTCCAATATATATCTTTAAAAACTTTGGTCGGCCATTTTGGCCCCGCCTTACCCCCGGGGGTCATGATTTGAACAAACTTGAATCTACACTACCTGAGCATGCTTCCATATAAATATGATGAATTATGGCTTTGTCATTCTTGAGAAGATTTTTAAAGAATTTTCCTATATATTAATTTCTATTTTGGACCCACCTTACCCCCGGGGGTCATGATTTGAACAAACTTGAATCTGCACTACCTGAGCATGCTTCCATATAAATATGATGAATTATGGCTTTGTCATTCTTGAGAAGAAGATTTTTAAAGAATTTTCCTATATATTAATTTCTATGTAAAACTTTGGTCGGCCATTTTGGCTCGTCCTACCCCCGGTGGTCATGATTTGAACAAACTTAAAACTACACTACCAGAGCATGCTTCCATATATATATATATATGATGAATTATGGCTTTGTCATTCTTGAGAAGAAGATTTTTAAAGAATTTTCCTATATATTTCAATGTAAAACTTTGGTCGGCCATTTTGGCCCCGCCCTACCCCCCAGGGGTCATGATTTGAATAAACTTGAATCTACACTACCTGAGCATGCTTCTATATAAATATGATGAATTACGGCTTTGTCATTCTTGAGAAGAAGATTTTTAAAGAATTTTCCTATATATTTCTATGTAAAACTTTGGTCGGCCATTTTGGCCCCGTCCTACCCCCGGGGGTCATGATTTGAACAAACTTGAATCTACACTACCTGAGCATGCTTTCATATAAATATGATGAATTATGGCCTTGTCATTCTTGAGAAGAAGATTTTTAAAGAATTTTCCTATATATTTCAATGTAAAATTTTGGTCGGCCATTTTGGCCCCGCCCTACCCCCGGGGGTCATGATTTGAACAAATTTGAATCTACACTACTTGAGCATGCTTCCGTATAAATATGATGAATTATGGCCTTCTCATTCTTGAGAAGAAGATTTTTATAGAAATTTCCTATATATTTCTATGTAAAACTTTGGTCGGCCATTTTGGCACCGCCCTACCCCCGGGGGTCATGATTTGAACAAATTTGAATCTACACTACCTGAGCATGCTTCCATATAAATATGATGAATTATGGCTTTGTCATTCTTGAGAAGATTTTTAAAGAATTTTCCTATATATTTCTATGTAAAACTTTGGTCGGCCATTTTGGCCCCGCCCTACCCCCAGGGGTCATGACTTGAACAAACTTGAATCTACACTACCTGAGGATGTTTTTCCATAAGTTTCATCTTTCCTGGCACAGTGGTTCTTGAGAAGAAGATTTTTAAAATATGCCACCAAATTTTCATTTATTCCCAATTACCTCCCCTTGAATGAGGGCGTGGCCCTTCACTTGAACAAACTTGAATCCCCTTTACCCAAGGATACTTTGTGGCAAGTTTGTTTGAAATTGGCCCAGCGGTTCTTGAGAAGAAGTCGAAAATGTGAAAAATTTACAGACACACAGACAGACGGACAGCTAGACAGACAGACAGACGGACGCCGGACAAAATGTGATCAGAAAAGGTCACTTGAGCTTTCAGCTCAGGTGAGCTAAAAACCCGTAAAAATAACAGATTTTATGTACATGTATTAATTAAAAAGTTTCCTTAATCAACTTGTACTCACATTTCAGCTGTAGCTACCACAGGTACTTGTGGACAGAAACCCCCCCCCCCCCTTCCATTATACATCCCGCGGGTCAAATAAAAATTTTTTGATGTTTTTTTTGCATAAAATATATTCTTCTAGTACATATTTACAATGTATTCAATGCGCCCCCCCCCTTAAAAAAACGAAGAATTCACGTTTTATCAAATAACCATACCCGCGGTATTTATAATCAAGACATCCAAAAGTCCTTTTGCCCCGGGGTGTAAATTCGGGGGTGCTGGTGTCCTGTCCACAATACCTGTGGGGTCACCTTATGGGGTAGAATGCAGTCATTTGTCAGCTCTAGTACCCAGGGGCGGGTACATGTATCTTGGTGGCAATGCCTGTAATCTAATTATTTAGAGAGAAAATTTAAGTCGGAGAAAGTTCGGGATTATTCGTAAAAAATTCTAAATTTTGTAGACTTTTTGACCAATACATGTATACATTTTTATAATATATTTAATTTCATATAATCTTATAATGAGTAGGTGGATAAGTGGTATTTCGTGATGGGAGTGATAGCCTCTACACTTTCCAGTGCTTTTATCGAAAACTTACTTTTGTAAATGTGGAAAGACGGCGACATACATGTATTAAAGGAACGTGGGAATGGAACTGGCACAGTAAAAATAAAAACAGCTTCAAAAAATTGCCTGAAAAAAAACCCAACAATGTCTATAGAAAATATAAGCATAAATAATGTATAAATATTTTTTTTTGGGGGGGGGGGGCAAAATATTTCCTTTCAGTGCATTTTGAAGAGTTTGTAAGGAAAAAAACATAATTCTTTTAATTTTGACTTGTTCTCAACTCATCAAGATTGGAAACTGAAGAAAATTGTAGACATACTAGTATATATGATTATCCTTTTTAACAGTTGATCCTTACATCACGGCTTCGAATCCCACTGTGGGACGTGGAAAAAAAATTGACAAGCAAAAAAAAAAAAAAAAAAAAAAAAAAGGAGAGTTGCCCAAAGTCGAAAATCCTATTTCTGGGCTTTTTCAATTGCCAAGACCTTTCAATACCATTTTTTTTTACTTAAAATACTACATTTTTCTTTTACCGCAATAAGTGGGGGGGGGGGGAACCAGCCTTTCATTGAACATTTACTATAGTATAAGTACTGTAATGTTGGGAAAACAAGGGCCCGGGCAGGGGGCAGCCCCCCCCCCCCCCGTTGCAACGTGCCTGCCGTGTCGCAGTAGGTGCTGGCACGAAAAAGATCCCTTACTGCTCAGTAGCCCTGATTGCCGAACACAGAACAAAATTTGTAGCTGTCCATCGGCAAGTGGTGATGTCTCCATATGAGTGCAAAATTTTAGAGAGGGATGTTAAACAACATACAATCAATCAATCATCTCAAATACATGTAACGGAATACAAAGAATACTAATCGCACGTTTTAAAAAATTACTATTCCACATATTCTCTTCTGAAAACTCTGTAACAAAGGCAAAAAGATTGTGTGTATTTAGACATAGCTAGGATCAGGTATAGTATTCTCAGAAGTATTTAGACTCTATGTTTGTATAGTATTCACTCAGTTTTACTTAGACATCCACAAGTTTGGTCCAAGTAGGATTTGAAATTTTTGGTAGAATGAACCTGCTGTGTGGCCATCAAACTTAGATGAACTCACTTTCAATCTTAGTCTCACTTGTACATCCTTTCATAGAAGTGAAACTGAGATCTAAGAGTGAGGTGCCTAAGTTTTATTGCCATGGAATCAGATTTTAGTTGTATCCAAAGCAAGTCTTGTAATGTGCATCCATTCAAGTTTAAGGACTCAACGGCTTATTGTTTTCAAATAAAAAACCTGCTTAAAAAAGTAATCGGCTCATCCATCAAGTGAATGTAGGTCAGATCAAGCACCTGAATGAAGGTTGGTTGTTGCCATCCTTAAATGCATTGTCCATTCAAGTTTAAGTACTACAGAGCTAGCTTAAAAGTGTAATGAAGCTGCTCTTAATCTTTAATCTACATAACATCTGAAAAATGTAGCTTCGGAAGCATGTCTGGTAGTGTGCATCCTTAGATATACCATACACACAAAATGGTCACCATAAGGCTTATTATTTATAAAGACAAAACCTGCTCCAAAAGTGTTAACCTCGGGGTCATTCCTCTTGTAAATAGGTCAGGCTTGGAGGCCATTAGACTTAGAAGAGCTCACTTTTGATCTCAGTCTCACTTTTACCAAAGGAATATAGAGTGGAAAATTGAGACTGAGATCAAAAGAGAGCTGGTCCTAGTTTTATGGATCCAAGGCCAGATCATGCATATGAAACATGCTTGGTAGTATGCATCCTCAGATGCATTACCCATACAAGTTTGGTGACCAAAAAATTACCGTAAAAATAATGCTTTGGAATGAACCTGCTCATTAAACTTTAACCTGGTCATGCATACAGCATCTAAAAAAATACATACCATGAAAACAATGAAAATTAATCCCCCACAAAAATTTGTGATCTCATAGCACTTTCTTTTACCTGAATAAATAAAATTGTGATTTTTTTTTTTTTTTTTTAAATTCAACAATAACAAAGCAGTTTATTTACTGACATCAAGTGGTACAATGATTCGTGACTCCAGAATATATTTGTAATGATTTTCTTGTTTTTGTTGAAAAGTCACCAATGCTATTCACTGGACATTTGAAGATGAAACAGAATATGATAACAATAGATTTCTTATTTGTTTTGAGGCATCACCAATGCCATTCACTTGCTGTTTGAAGGTGTCCTAACCAGAACAGAGTACTAAATATTTCTTTTCTATCCTCTGGGTTCCAGTAATCATAAGGACGTGTGTACTGGATGGAGGCACCTTTAGCTCCCATTAGAGTTCCTTTCTGAATGAAGTTTATGTGGTCCTCTGTTAACTCCAGGTAGGTGAAAATGAGCTGAAAGACAGAGATAGAGAGTATTAATAAGAATCTCACTAGATGCTGTCATGAGACAGTAATACCCGCACTAAGGTGTTTGCCTCTAAAAACACTCCTTCATATTGGACTTTCCAAGGAAGAAGTCAAAATAATTCTATAATTATCTCCGTACATGTATTCGTCAAATTTTGTCACACCTCAGTCAAAAAAAAATCCAGCCCAAGATTTCCTGAGAAGCAAACAAAAAATAATAATAAAAACAATGATGGTGGGGTCCATGTTTTTTAAGGGGGAGGATGTCCAAAGTCATTTTTATTCTCTCCAGTAAATAGTCTTATTCAAATAACTGCAAATTCAAGGGGGGAGGGGGTGTCTGATCTCCCTAGCCACTGACTCCCTGTAACCTGAAATGACAATTGATCTTATGACTCCATAATAGTAGAAAATTTTTCCATTTGACTATATATACATGTTTTGTTTCCTGTGTTTATGTCTGTTTGTCTGTCCGCAGAAACTTTAACCTTGCCCATATTTTAGTTTTAAGTGGATTGGGCTATACACATGGCTTCCACATTTCATAGGTAAATTTATTTTGGCAAAACCTTTTAATGGGTACCACCAATTTTGACCTCTTGATCTCTTGACCATGGAGTTTGACCCTTTTTTACAAGAAAAATACCTTAAACTTGGCCTAATTTAAGTTTTGAACAGTTGGTGCTAGGACTTTCATGCTTAACATGTGTAATCATTGTGAACTTTCAACAGGTATAAATATTTTTGACCTTGACCCTAGAGTTGAACCCAATTTAACTTTAACCTTGGCAATAACTTTTGAACAGGTGAGGAAGTACTAGGGATTTCTCTCTTATTTCACATGTGTATTCCTTGTGACAAGATTTTCCCTTTGATACTAACAATTTTGACCCTTTGACCTTGACCTTTGAAATACATTTGAGAAACTTCAACCTTTGCCAAAAGCTGCCACAACAAACAAACAAATTACTAAAAAAAAACACAGTATACATGTACATATTTTATATTCAACAGATATACTTCTGGTCATATCTCTAGTTCTCCCTTGAATCAGACATGGTGATATAAATATTTTAAAAATAATTATTATAAGAGTTGAAAAGGTTGTGCATATTAAAATATACTAAGCTCTGCGGATGAATTAGATATACCAGTTTAGCTTTATTTTGCTACCCAAAGCACCTTGATTAACTATTTACAAGCATACTGTTTTCTGAAATGTACTGTTTTCTGTCGTCCATCTGTTTGTCTGCAAACTTTTCACATTCTTAACTTCTTAAGAACCACTGGGCCAATTTCAACCAATTTACATGTAAATATGCAGGGGACTTTTTCCAACATAAATCTTCTTCTCAAGAACAGCAAGGACATTTATTGTCCCCCATTTTTGCTAAAGGTAGGGGACATTAAATCTCATTTGTTTGTCAGTCTGTCCATCTGTCACAATAAATTTAACCTTGGTCATCATGGTCATATATTTTGAATGAGGAGACAGGACTTTTATATTAAACATGTGTATTAGTATTTAACTGGGACAATACCATTCTAAATACACTATGATTTTTATTACCCATGACCTTGAAGTTTGACCTACTGTCATAAACAAATTAATTGTTTTAAATTGATCATTTTGAAAGATAAATGAAAGGGCATTCATATTGTACATGCATATATATTACCTGTGATAAGACCTTTCCAAATGTATCATGACTTTTTGACTCTGTGACCTTGACCTTGAAGTTTAACTTACTTTTTAATAATGTTGTATTTCCTTTTGATTGAGAAGAGATACGACTTTCACATTTCAAGTGTACATTATCCATAACAAGATGTTTCCCAACATGCTATGATTTTTTACCCCTTGACCT